TTCAGAATCGGATATACAGGTTTCAAAGTTAAATATACTACCACTAACTTCCAGTACTAGCAGTATAACAATGGGAGAAAAATTTAATTTAATGACCGCGGGAAGTTTGTTGCCATTAATGGATGGCTCAGAAGAAACGACCAAAAGGTTAGTGGATGCTATTGAATTATACAATGGGTTGTTAGACGAAAACGGGAAAACATTTTTGATAACGTATGGTTTAAAAAAAAAAGCGAAAATTATTTAGGTCATATAATAACACCCGACGGTATTTTACCTGATCCAGCAAAAGTCAAAGCTGTTAAAGAATATCCATTACCCAAGGACGCCGACGGCGCCAGACGATTTGTAGCATTAGCAAATTATTACCGTAGGTACATTAAAAATTTTGCAGATATCGCAGCACCGCTAAATTATTTGTTAAAAAAAAATGTTCCATTTAGTTGGACGGCGGAATGTCAGTCTAGTTTCGATAAATTAAAAAATTCTTTAATAAAACCACCCGTGTTACAATATCCAAATTTTTCAGAAGACAATCATTTTATTTTAAAAACTGACGCATCAGGAATTGCGTTGGGAGCAGTTTTATGCAATGGTGATGATAAACCAGTCGCATTTGCAAGCAGAACATTAAATCAAGCAGAAAAAAATTATTGTACGATAGAAAAGGAACTTTTGGCTATTGTGTGGGCTGTAAAACATTTTCGTCCTTATCTATACGGTCGTAAATTTGAAATTTTTACCGATCATCGACCATTAATTTATTTATTTGGCATGAACAACAAATCTAGTCGACTAACTAAATTTCGTTTAATTTTAGACGAATATGATTTTTCAATTAAATATATACAGGGAAAACAAAACGTAACTGCAGACGCTTTGTCTCGTATTGAAATCACTTCAGATGAATTAAAAGCTATGAATTCGAGAATTGAAGAAACAGTTCTTGTTATAACACGTTCAATATCACAAAATCTAGACAAAAATAACGTAATTCTTCATGATAGGACTGATCACCCTGGCGTGGTAGAGTTGCTAAAGAAACCAATTAAAGCTACTGAATTAAGACCAATTTCACAAGAAGAGTTTTCCAAAATTTTGAAGAATAAAAAGTATGATGTGCACATAGGAGAATATATTTATATGATAAGGAGTTGCAACTAATTTATTATTGTATACAGGATTCTCGATCAACGTCGTCATTAAGTGAGTCGTTGAGAGACCTAGAATATATATGTAAACAAAATAATATTCCGGAATTAATCGTAATAAAAAAGAATCAGAACGCGTTCTACCCAAATAGGTTTTGTATAAATATGATCTTCCTAAATGAAATAATTAAAATTGGAAAACAATTGAAAACCAGAAATTTAAAAATTAGTATATTAAAAGATATTGAACATATAACCGACAAAGATACACAACAGTTAATTATTAATGATTTTCACATGTTACCTACAGGAGGGCATGCTGGAATCAACAGAACATATAACAATATAAAAAGGTATTATTTTTGGAATGGATTACAGAAAGATGTACAAAATTTTATTAGAAAATGTGATGACTGTCAAAGGTATAAACATTCAAACGCTAAGATTGAACCGATGGAAATAACAACCACAGCTACTTCCGCATATCAAAAAGTTTATTTAGATCTGATAGGTCCATTAGAACCAGATGAAAAAAACCATAAGTATATCCTTACGTTACAATGTGAGTTAAGTAAATTCGTAGAAGCATACCCTTTAATCAATAAAGAAGCTAATACCGTAGCCGAAGCTTTTGTACAAAACTTTATATTAAGGTATGGTGTTCCAGATGAAATAGTTACAGATAAAGGTACAGAATTTCTAAACTCAACATTGACAGAGGTTTGCAAAATTTTAAAGATAAAAAAAAACTAAATTCAACAGCATACCACCACCAAACTTTAGGCTCTTTGGAAAATTCTCATAAAAACTTAGGTTCATATCTCAGAATGCAGATTGCTAATCACCCAGATGCATGGAGTACATGGGTATCATTTTGGTGTTTTGCGTACAACAATTCGGTTCATACTGAAACGCGTTACACGCCTTTCGAATTAGTTTTTGGTAAAACTTGCAAAATTCCTTCAAATATAACAACAAAAACTGATCCAATGTATAATTTTGATAGTTATCCAATTCAATTAAAATACCGTTTACAACAAGCATGTCAAGATGCTAGACAAAATTTGTTAAATTCAAAGTACAGACGAAAAAATTACTATGATTTGAAAAGTGTAGTTACAGATTATAAGGTAGGAGATAAGATTTTGTTAAAAAACGAATGTAATCATAAAATGGATCCATTATTTAAAGGTCCGTTTGAAATAGTAGAAGTTAAGCAACCAAATATTGTCATTAGAGTAGATCGTAAATTGCAAGAGGTACATAAAAATAGAGTTAAGTTATATCATATGTAAGTTTTCTAAAACAATTTCATTATTGTAAATTATAGCATATTAGCATAGTAAGTATTTAATTTTAGTGATGGAAAAAAAAAATATACATTGACCTCCAACAATATATATTTTTTTAAGTTTCCGAGGGAGATGTAATGTAATAATTAGTGATTGCCGAAATTAGGATACACGTGCATAAGGTTTCAAAACTTTGAGTTCAAATAATTGTTGATTCATAATCATTGCATTGAACTGATTTACATTTAATTGCATTAACTTTCTTGCGAAAACGCTTATTATAGCAGTAAGCATTATTCCACTTTCGGTGTGTCACTAGTAGGTTAATATTACTAACAGTAGATTTGTAATCAAGATCGAGTAAGCATGTACCAGTAATTACTGTCTACGGAATTTATTCAATTCCTAATAAAATAAATATGAAGTTTTCGTGATCTTAATTAAACCAAACCCCTGCAAATATCACAAGCCCTTTGAATTTTTTTTCGAAATTGGTTTCTAGTCCATAACTTTTTGATTGAGAAGTCTGATCGAAAAAGTACGAATTGTTTTGGATTCTACGCACCAAAATTAATAAGAAAAAGTGTTTTCCCGAGAAATTTTGGCGCAGTCGATTTTTGGTAAAAAAGGAAGGTTATACACTGCCTTTTTTTGAGCCCCGAAAAAAAAATTGTCTCAGATCGACCCGGAAAAAAAAATTTCTTATAGAATGTGGCCTGTAGAATCCATAATTTCAAACAGTTCCAAGATTGGGCTACTAGTTCAAAAGTTACAGCCCTTCTTTCGAAATTGGTTTCTAGTCTATAACTTTTGATTGAGAAGTCTGATCGAAAAAGTACGAATTGTTTTGGATTCTACGCACCAAAATTAATAAGAACAAGTGTTTTCCCGAGAAATTTTGGTGCAGTCGATTTTTGGTAAAAAAGGAAGGTTATACACTGCCTTTTTTTGAGCCCCAAAAAAAAATTGTCTCAGATCGACCCGGAAAAAAAATTTTCTTATAGAATGTGGCCTGTAGAATCCATAATTTCAAACAGTTCCAAGATTGGGCTACTAGTTCAAAAGTTACAGCCCTTTGAATTTTTTTTCGAAATTGGTTTCTAGTCTATAACTTTTGATTGAGAAGTCTGATCGAAAAAGTACGAATTGTTTTGGATTCTACGCACCAAAATTAATAAGAAAAAGTGTTTTCCCGAGAAATTTTGGTGCAGTCGATTTTTGGTAAAAAAGGAAGGTTATACACTGCCTTTTTTTTGAGGCCCGAAAAAAAAATTGTCTCAGATCGACCCGGAAAAAAATTTTCTTATAGAATGTGGCCTGTAGAATCCATAATTTCAAACAGTTCCAAGATTGGGCTACTAGTTCAAAAGTTACAGCCCTTTGAATTTTCTTTCGAAATTGGTTTCTAGTCTATAACTTTTGATTGAGAAGTCTGATCGAAAAAGTACGAATTGTTTTGGATTCTACGCACCAAAATTAATAAGAAAAAGTGTTTTCCCGAGAAATTTTGGTGCAGTCGATTTTTGGTGAAAAAGGAAGGTTATACACTGCCTTTTTTTGAGGCTCGCAAAAAAAATTTTCTCAGATCGACCCGGAAAAAAATTTTCTTATAGATGTAACCTGTAGGATCCATAATTTTAAACAGTTCCAAGATTGGGCTATTAGTTCAAAAGTTACAGCCCTTTGAATTTTTTTTCGAAATTGGTTTCTAGTCCATAACTTTTGATTGAGAAGTCTGATCGAAAAAGTACGAATTGTCTCAAAGTATTCAAATACCTTGCGAAGTATTCGAATACTTTACGAAGTATCCAAATACTTTGCGAAGTATTCGAATACTAAATATTTGTGAAAGTATTTGAGTTACAAATACAAATACTGCTTCCATAAAAGTATTTAATTACAAAGGATTTGAATACTAAAAAGTATTTACAAAATCGAATACTGCCCAGCTCTGAATGGCTGTCTGCGTTGTTGGATCGAAGGCCCATGTTGAACCTCGGTTGGAGATCGAGAAGATTGGAGGGGTGTGTGGGGCACACCGTCACTTGTACCGATTGTAAGCTGTTCCTCGCACCTCCATTGAGTAACTGAAAAAAATGACTTTGATTCAACGACTGATTTATTTACAATGATTAGAGTTTTAAAATTTCGCGTCCTTAATATCCAAACGAACTCTACCACTAATCCTTCCTACATCAATACAAATTAGAAAAAATTCAAGCTGCACTTATCAACGGACGGATATGACTAAGCTGTACTACTCGAGCTTATAGCAGTATAGCACGCAAAACCGGCGACTCGATTCATCTTATTGGAGCGTCTTCGACTCCCGTTACACCATTTCCCGTCATGTTTAATCCTTCTATAGCAATAATTGCATGTCCTGATGAAACCAATTTGGAAAAAAAATTGTTTCAGCAGAGATTAATACAATTATTTACGAGGGGAAAGCGGTACGCGAGCCCCTAAATGTCGAAGAGTGCCATCTCCCGACTTTTAATTTAGGAAGCGAGACAGATAAGCTACCGCGTATAAAGTGGCGCTATCAGTTCCGTTATCAATAGAAAAGGTGCGTTACAATTTAAAGCAAGGCGCACTTAACGAAACCTAGATAAGTCGCGAAGGCGATAAATCGGTGTAATTACAGCGTATCAGAAAAAAAATTAGTGCTGACAAAGTGAATCTGTGCGCCCTTCCAACGGTAAGTTAAAAGCGTCCACCAAAGGTCCACGTATCAAAAAAAAATTAGTCAATTTAAAAGCGATCGCTCGCTTTTGAAATGCAAATGTCGAAGTAATGAAAACAGGGCGATCCAATTTAGGACTGATCCCGTACCGAAAGGGGGCGACATTCTTGCAATTTTGATCACGAAATTGGTATTGTCGCCAAGATTGAAAGCATCTATTGTGTAACGATCAAGCTTGCCTCATCGTAAACTGCTTTTTAATGAGAATTCCGTGATATGGATCGAGGTGAAAAAGAGACGGATGTATTAACACTTATCGAGTTTGAGAAAAATAATCGAATCTCCGATCTTGATTGTATGCACTAATTGAACGTTATTGTTTATACAATGTACCTATATAGGCGAGAGCAGCAGCAACAGAAACTGCAGCTGATGCTGAATGATCAAAAAGCATTGGTGCGAAGTTCCATAAGCCTTTTTGGTGTTTTTGTCAGCCTTTGAGAGTAGTAAAGGGTCTTTTTTTGAGTTTTAGGAGTCTTCAAGGTTTAAGAGGGTCTGCAAATTTTCAAAAGCTTCAGTAGGTAGGCGTTTAGTGATTAAGACCCTTTGAAAATCCTCAGTGTCCTAGCCTTAGCGCGCCTTTAAGACCTGTAAAAAGTTTCACTTACACTTAAAGGCTTTCAGTAGCCTTAAGGAACCTTTTTATCCCTTTAGTAGGTTTCGAGGTCTTTTAAGAGGCTCCCCTTAAAGAGCCTTTCATGGGCCTTTAGGTTTCTAGAACCTTAGGAATCTTTAAAGGTATTTACATCCCAAAGGGATAGACCTTTAACGTTTAAGATTCAGTAAAGGTCTTTAAAACTATTTTCAAGTAGCACGTCGGAGTTCCTTAAAACCTTTCAGAAGCTGTCTTTAAGAGCTGGACCTTCCCCTGCTTTAAGACCTTTAAGACTTTGAAAACCTTCGTTCAAAGCGAATAATACCCTTTAATACTGCCGAATAGTCTGCAAAAGGCTAAGCTTGAAGAACCTTTAAGATGTTTTGTGAGTCCTTAAAGGTCTTTAAGGATTTTGTCATTTGTTAGCAGCCCTTCCAAGAGCCAAGCTGATTTTAAAGGGATTCAAAGAATCTAAATGACTGATAAAAAAATTCGTATGTTTTCGGATTTGAAACCTTTAGATAGCCCTTCCAAGCGTATAAGGACCTTTCAAAGTATTCCATACACGGTTTAAACGGCCTACATGAAGAGCCTTCAATATCTTTGGTAAGTCCTGAAGGTTTTAAGAGTCATTACCTGTAGCGTCAAATTTCAAAAGCCTTCAGTCTCCCTCCAAGAGTCTTCCAAAGGGTTCCGGAGATTCTCCCCTTTTTATGTTTTGTGAACTTTTGGCAGTTTTCAAAGTTTTTGAAAACTTCAGAAGCATTTAACATTTTAAGTGCCAACTCTTTAAAGGTATAATTGATCCTTAAGGGCATCTTTAAAATCAAAAAACAGTTTTAGGCCCTCTATGATCTATATGGTTCTCTACGTATGTTAAAGGGTCTTTAAAACTCTTTAGGAACCTTTAAATGTTGTGAACAGTTCACAGGTGCTTCCAAAGGTCTTCAAGAATCACCAAAGGTTTTTTAATGTTCTGAAAACATTTAGTTGGCATTTAAAGTCCCACTGCAAGCTTTTAAAAGTGATTATAATTCGCTTTAAAAGAGCATAGTTCATTAAAAGCCCTTAATTTCAAAGGCTCCTCCTTAGCAACGTGTAGAGTTCGAGCCTTTAAAGGTTTATTAACCTTTGAATGTCCTTATGGGCCTACAACAGCTTTCAAAAATCGCAAAGGGGTTTTTGAGTCCTTTATAGTATTGAAATAACCAGCATCTTCTGATCAATATTCTTATCTCATTTACCTTCTACATCTTTTTGTTTTCTTTATCTTTTTTATCTTCTTCGTCCTCCGCTTCTTTCTCGTGTTCCTCGTCCGTCACGTCTTATTTGTCTTCTAAGAGCTTCTCGCATTTTTCCTTCTTTTCTTCATGTTGATCTTCGTTTTCCTTCATCGCGAATTTGAACATATAATTTCCATTTATTTTTGCCCTATGTTACTCATCTTCCCATCTTTTTCTCCTTCTTTGCTTCCTTCGTCTTTCTCTCTTCGCTCTCTTCATGACCTTCGTCTTCTTGGTCTGCCACGTTCTCTTCGTCTTCCGAGTCATAATCTTTTTCCTCTTCGTTTTCATTTATTTCTGTCCCATCTTACTTCTACCTCGTTTTCCTCCGCCTCCTTCTCCTACATACTCTTCTTTGTTTTCTTCGTCTTAATCTTTTTATTTATTTATTTTTTTACATCTTTATTTTAGAGTGGGCGAAGATTGATTTGATTTTTCTGATCTTTCACTTTTCCTTCCGTTTCTTTGGCTTTCTTTAGAATCGGGTTCCTTTCATTTGCGATCTTTTTCGCCTTCTTCGTCTTTCTCCCTCGTTCTCCATCTTCCACGCTTTCTTCATCACCTTCGTCTTTTTGACGTTTTCTTCATCTTCCCAGTCGTCATCGTCTTTTTTTGATTTCTTCGTTTTCATTTATCTCTGTCCCATCTTACTATCTGCCACCTCATTTGTCGCTGCCTCTTTTATCTTCCCATCTTCATTGTCGATCTTTTCTTCTATACCTTCTACGTTTTCGTCGCTCTTTCGTCTTCTTGGTCACTTCCTCAATTTGTTTTTCTTTTGCTCTTCGTTTTTCTTCATCTAGAATGTGAAAATACAATTTTCATTCACTTTTGCCCTATGTTACTCCCCATATTCTCATGTTTTTCGGCCTCCTTTCTTCTTCGCCTTTTTAAATCACCATCGTCTTTTTTACATCGACTTCTTCGTTTTTATCTTTTTTCTCGTCTGCCTCGGCTACCACGCTTTCCATAGGGACCTTTAAATGTTGCGGACAGTTCACAGCAGCCTCCAACGGAGAATCACGAAATGTCTTCCTCGTCTTCTAGGTTTTCCAAGAATTCGTCGAATTTTTCGTTATTCCTCCTCGTTTTCCTTCATCCCGAATTTGAAAATACAATTTCCATTTATATTTTTCCTACCTTTTCAGTTTTTTCATTTTCTTTGCCTTCGTTTTCCTCTCTCTTTCTCAATCTTCTTCCATTTCTTCCCCGCCTTCTTCTCTTTTGTCTTCCTAAACTTCTGCGGCTTTCTCTTTTTTCCCGTCTTCGTGATCTGCCACGTTTTCTTCGTATTCCAAGTGTTCTTCGTTTTTTCTTCGTTCTTCTTCGTCTTTAATTTAAATAATGTTTTCATTTATTTCTGTCCAATTTTACACCCTACCTCCTCGGGTTCTTTATCTCCTCATCCTCATGTCCTACGTCTTCTTCTTCGTCTTCATATTCTGTAGTTGCTTTAGATTCTGGGTTTTTGTGATCCTTCATTGGTTTCATCTTTGGCTTCGCACTCTCAAGCTTCTGTAGCCTCTTCGAATTCTTCAGCTTCTTTCCTTTCTTCCAATTTTGAAGATACTCCGAATTTTTCAGTATCCTCGATTGCTTATGATCTTCCACTACATTTCTTCTGATTCTTTCGACGTTTCGGCTTCCTAGGATTCTCAAAATTCTTCTCGAATTAATCGGTTTTTTTCAAACCTTCTTATGTCCTTGCTCGATCACATTTTAGCTTCAGATTCTTCAAAATCTTTCATTCTTCTATCCTTTCCCAGTCTACGGTTTCAAACTCCTCTATTGTTTCGGTTCTTCAGACTTCTTGATGTCATCAGATTTTTGAGATTATTCAAATTGTTCAGTTTTTCATAATTTCTCGTTCTTTGAAATTGTGCGAATTTTTCACTTTCCAGTTCGGATACTTTGGTTTCTTCAAAATTTTTGAAAATTCTTACTATTTCTTCAGTTCTTCAAAATTAACAAGGCGGCATCCTGTTCATTTTTGCACGCAAATAGCAATTTGAGTAATTGTTCCTGTTTCTGTTCTACTGATTCGGTTCGAAGGACCAATATATACGCATTACGTTTTACTAGTAGGCTTTGTTAGCAGAGCGGAATTCACTTTCGTGAACCTTGGACACGTTGACATAAAATCAGTGGGCTTGCTCGGAATTTCTGCACCATGTAGTCATCGGACCCTTTACCACCATCAAGTTTCTATTTTCTAAAAATTAGAAGGAACAAATCTATACCCCTCTGCACGTGCATCATTCTAACAGAACTCAATACTCAGATTTCATCCCTCAGATGGACGCACACTGCCGGTATTTACGTAGAAACAATATCAGGTAGCAGATGGTCAGGTAACGACAGAGACAGGCATAGACCAAACAAATGAGAGACAAAGACGGATAGAAGATAGAAAGCGACAGACAGAGGCGGACAGAGACAGACACAGAGGAAATCAGCGACAATTAAGAGTTTCTGGTAAGTAAGCATAACCTTGAGAAAAAGAGAGAGAGGGAGACCTTTAAAGTATCCCGAAAAATTGTCACATTCCGATCGAAGCTGCTAGAACCTTCAACTTTACGAGGACATAAAAGCGCAATAATTAGCATCTCGTCGTCGCCCCCAAAAAAGACGCTAATTAATAAGAAATATAATACTTCAAAGCTATTAAGGTAATTGTTTACGAGCACCTTCACATTTTGCAAATATTGATCACTTTCGATTATGTGTCGTGGGTTTCGAAATTAATTTGCTTATTACCAAACAGTCGCGAAGGTGACCGCTTCGCGTCCAGCGGGAGCAACGCAAAGGACGAACAAATTCTCTTTTGGCTCTCGAGGAAAGGTTCCGATGCTTCTCTCTGTTGCAGCGTCCGAAACGGATCCCGCACGCATCTGCAATGCAAAATAAGCCGCTCGATCCATCAGATTACCAAGACACGGAGGTCTCGAAGGCGCGAAGGGGTTGCATTGAGAGGTACGGATCGGGGGTTCTTTACGAGAACGCGACCGCGATCTACAATTCAACGGGTAAGTCATTAAATTGGCCATTTCTCGCATGCTCCTTTGAATAAATTTTTATTAAAATAAGTATTTTATTGACAGACATAAAAAAAGTCCAATTCCGCGGTAATAAAACGGAAAATATAACACAGGGACTTAGAAATAAAGCTTCCAATATGCATTTAGTTTAATCGAACTTCGAGGGTCGCTAAATAAAGCTGAAGGGATGACAATTTGAAAAAAAAAAACATCAATTAATTTCCGTAAAGCTTTTTTTTGCGAAATATTTGTTAAAATAACTCAAAATGTAATTTGAATAAATAATAATAAAATGAAAAAGATAGGGGGGGTCTGGCGAGTATGGATTACCCCCCCCTCCCCCCGGCCGGTATACAACTGTCATAATTATGTTAGTAGTGAGAAGTAAATGATGACTTTCTTTTAACATTGGAAATGTTTATGTTTTCGAACTGGATACAAAGTTGCATATGTTTCGTTCAAGGCCAAAAGACAACGGTGTCGATCGTGACGTACTCGACTATGATCGGTAGGTTGACGAAAAGTCGCGGATTTATAGTGCTCAATTGTTACGTTAATTCCAATCCAAAATTCTCCTTTAATAGTTTTACGAGCATGTTATGACGCTTATTACTCAAAAGTATTACGTGTGAGACACGAACGAGCTTGCGAGCGAGTGGAGCAAGTGATTAGGGATATTTTGTATCTCCAATGGTTCCCAGACCCTCCAATCCACCACTCTGGGGGTTTAAACCTCCCCCCCCCCTCCCCCGACTTCCCAAAATCGTACGCCCTAAGTTTTAAAAACATCTTTATAGGGTGGGCCGTACCCCCCAGGATACAAATCTGTTACGTTCGTTGTAGAGTGATAAACGTTGTTTCCTTCATATTTTTCTGAAGCGTATTCCTAACCCTCATAAACCCCCCAGTTCGACATTCTTCCCCAAAATCTTTAATACCCTTTACAGGTACACCCGAGTTTTGGAACAAAAACTTTGGTTTTTGAAGGTTAAGGTATTTCGGGGATGTCTGGAGGGTATTCCAATACCCACCAGTTTACGTTAGTTGTAGAGAATTGAACGTTGTATCTTTCTTATTGTCCTGGGGGGTATGGAACCCCCCAGTTCAACACTTCCCCAAAGATGAACGTATCTCCAGAGGTCTGGAATGCCCCCTAGAATACAAATGTCTTAAGTTCGTTGTAGAGAGATAAACTTTGAGCCCTTCTCATTATCATGGAGCGGTATTTCTAACCACTCTCTCTCCCCAAACCCACAAGTTCTGCATTCTCCCCCAAAATCTTTAATATCCTTAACACGTTGACACCCTAGTTTTGGAAGAAAACAATCTTGGGTTTTTGAGAGTGAACGTATTTCCGGGAGGTCGGGGGGGTATTGGAATACCTGTTAGTTGTAGAGAAATCAACGTTGTATCTTTCTTCTTGTCCTGGGGGGTATTCCATACCCCCCAGACCCCCGGTTCAACATTTTTCCCCAAAATTTTACACCCTGATTTTTTTAAAACGTGTTTATGGTGAGCGTATGTACTTCCGGGGGGTCTGGGGGTATCCATACCCCTCAGTATAGGAATGTCGTATCTTAGTAGTGGAGACGTTCACGTTGTATCTTTCTTATTGTCCTGGGGGGTATTCCATACCCCCCAGACCCCCCGGTTCAACATGTTTCCCCAAAATTTTATACCCTAATTTTTTTAAAACGTATTTAGGGTGAACGAATGTACTTCCGGGGGGCCTGGGGGTATTGGAATACCTGCTAGTTGTAGAGAAATTCTCGTTTTGTATCTTTCTTATTTTTCCGGGGGGTATTCCATACTCCCCAGACCTCCCGGTTCAACATTTGACCCCAAGATTTTACACCCTAATTTCTTTAAAACGTGTTTAGGGTTAACGTATGTACTTCCGGGGGTCTGGGGGGTATCCAACCACCTCAGTAAACGAATGTCGTATCTTAGTAGTGTAGACGTTAACGTTGTATCTTTCTTATTGTCCTGGGGGGTATTCCATACCCCCCAGACCCCACGGTTCAACATGTTTCCCCAAAATTTTACACCCTAATTTTTTTAAAACGAGTTTAGGGTGAACGTATGTACTTCCGGGGGGTCAGGGGGGTATTGGAATACCTGTTAGTTGTAGAGAAATGAACGTTGGATCTTATTCTCCTGGGGGGTATTCCATACCCCCCAGACCCCCCGGTTCAACATTTGACCCCGAAATTTTATACCCTAATTTTTTGAAAACGTGTTTAGGGTGAACAAATGTACTTCCGGGGGGTCTGGGGGGGTATCCATACACCTCAGTATGCGAATGTCGTATCTTAGTAGTGTAGACGTTAACGTTGTATCTTTCTTATTGTACCTGGGGGGTATTCCATACCCCCCAGACCCCCCGGTTCAACATTTTTCCCCAAAATTTTACACCCTAATTTTTTGAAAACGTGTTTAGGGTGAACAAATGTACTTCCGGGGGGTCTGGGGGGGTATCCATACACCTCAGTATGCGAATGTCGTATCTTAGTAGTGTAGACGTTAACGTTGTATCTTTCTTATTGTACCTGGGGGGTATTCCATACCCCCCAGACCCCCCGGTTCAACATTTTTCCCCAAAATTTTACACCCTCATTTTTTAAAACGTGTTTAGGGTGAACAAATGTACTTCCGGGGGGTCTGGGGGGGTATCCATACCCCTCAGTATACGAATGTCGTTATTTAATCGTCTTTGGATACAAATATTTAATCCCTAAGATTGTCAAGCTAGGTTATTGGTGTACAGAGAGGTGTACACAATTTGTTTTCCTGATACCAAATCTTATAGAACAAATAATTATTTTATCCGCATTACAGAAACTGTTGGAAGTATACACGTCTTCTTTTAGCAAATTTTTATCAAAGAGGTTACTTATTCTAAAATTTGTACCAATCCTGTCAAGAGCTCATATATAGTAGGATGTGCTCCTGCTCATAATACACGGTGTATCGAATGGTAAACCGTTTATAATATTCTACTAGGAAAACATGATGGACGAAGAGGTCTCTTTTTCATCACCAGAGAAGTATTTCAACCCTTCACTTTAATTGTTTACCAATCCTATATCAGGAGAATACAATGCGCGAAAAGGTGTTCCTGCTCGTACTTAATCCACGGGGTATCAATTACCACACTCTTGTAAAATTACTATAGGAGAACATAAACGAGAAGGTTTACTTTTTAACAATCCTGTATAAGGAGTGGATAATGTACGAAAAAAATGCTCCCCTGCTCCAAATACATGGTTTTTTAACTGGCAAACTCTTCTTTTGTTGTATTATTGTATCCGGATCACAGAAAAAGAATGATCGAGTAAATAATTTCTTGTGGCAAGAAAAGACTCGCGAAAAAAACTGTCATAACAATTCCTAAGAGAACTTTTTGGAGGAAAGCGTATAGCCGAAACCCGAAAACTCGGGTTCTGAGGACTTTGAACATTTTGGAGGAAAAGGAAGAACTGGGGTGACTTCCGGACGTTAATTTTTATTAAATAACGACCGGCGGCCATTTAAACACAATAGAGATCTTACATAATCTGTTCTCCTGCTACTGAATCATTTTAATTTAAGGATTCTTGCACCAGGAGCACAGAGGCGTAAGAAATTCTTCTTACATGATTACATTAAGTTATGGTATCAGGATGCCTTTACAGGATCTTGTGGTAACAAGGAGACTGAAGGAGTTTGCCTAGGTTTTTATGTAGTTCAAATGAGATTTTGTTCCTTGCCGGGTAGGCAACACATTGTACTCCCACCTACATTCACCGATCTTCACTTGGTACAAAAAAATTACTTATTACAGGTACATTCTGCCCGGCATATTGGGACGACATACTTTGCTGGCCAATCACGCCTGCAAACACCTTTGCGACAATTGGCTGCCCAACATACATCGTGGGCTTCGACAAACCGGTAAGTAAAAAAGACATTCAACAATTTATAATTTAAAAAACGGTACAAAATTAATCATGTTCATCATCCATCTCGACATCGTCACCCTCCTCGTTAATCTCAGCATCCTCTTGATCTTCCTCCGCCCTACTGATCACCTCAAATCCTTCCCCTTTAATCCAGCAGCCCTTCAACGCGAACTTAAACTTAGCCAGCCGATAATCGAGCAGTTCCAATATTTTCGCCTGCTCGGGCGTCAACACGCTGCCCTCCTTGCACACCTCATAATCCTTAATTAACGTAACAACCCCTACAAAACGACAGTGAGCTTATAGAGAAACACCCGAAGTTGTCTCACCCTTCTCCAGTTTCGTCGGTAAGCCTAACTGTCGCAGGTACGGCTCCAGGGAGTGCGCGAATTGTTTCATCGGCCCCTCCTCCAGTTTCACTTTCGTCGTCGTTTTAAAACCGGTCCTCGCGTAGTCCTCGACTTCGTATCGGCCGAACCACTCCATCACCTCGTCCTTCGGGGAGTTTGTGAAGAGCAGGCCGCATTGGCCTTTTAAGCACTTCGAAAGCTGAAAGTGAGTGGTGAGCGGGCGATGCGTAAAACGGGATCGTTTACCTTGTGCAGGTCTTCGTCCGCCTCCTCCTCGGGCGTTCGCCCAAGGCCGATGGCGATGATTTTGTTTTTACCGAAGAAGAAACGGCTCGGCTTCCACTCCTGCCTCAAGTTTTGCATTTTGTCCGTTCGCATGTTTTTGTAGGTGAACACGTAGATGCTGCTAAAGGTCTCGACGCAATTTCGAACGTCCTCGACGATTTTCTGTTTGAGCACTAGGCCCTTTTTGTTCGTTTTCGTTAGGGAAACTGCAGAAGTGCCCGTTTAGTTGGAAGAAGTGAGGTTAGAATCGCTTACCTTTCTTATCCCTTTTTGATTTAGGCATTTTGTTAGTGTAAGTGCAGCGAGAGACACGATTTTATAATTAATTAGAAAGAGTTGTTTAAATAACGCGTGTTTAACGTAATTAAAGCACAACACGTGCAAAGATAATCAATACCGTAGTTAAAATGACCGCAACAAAAGCGCGTGATACTTCAGAACTTCTAATTGACAAGTGAACTACTTTGACGAAGGAATACAGGGTGTTCAACAACAACTGGTTCGATAACACTTTTTGACTATTTAATAAGCCTTTATCTGTTGCTCGATATTCGTTGTTTTAAATGGAGTGTGTTAATTAATTATGCATTTAAATTATATTAAGACTAAATTTCATGTTTGCAATTTTTTGAAATTATACAAAAGAATGCTAGAATGCTTTTTGGTGTCCCTCCTTTTCGCGTGTTAATCCCCAAGTATGTTCACTGACTATTTTAAACAATTTGGACCACTATCCGTGGAAGCTTTTATCATCCGTTCAAAGAGTTTCTTTCCAGAATTTTCTAGGACCTTTCCAGTACTTTTCAGACGCTTTACAGAAGATGGAAAGTGCAGCTACCTCTGAAATTTGTAAGAACTTTTAGTGCTTTTTTCATCGGGTCCTTAAAAGAACAAAGACTAAGGTCTAAAAAGGACTTGAAAAGCAAATGCGTTCTAAGAAAGATCTGGAGCGATCTAGAAAGAGTCTAAACAGACTGCAGAACTTCCCGAACTAATGAAAATGGATCCAAATATAATGATTAAATGCAGTAGCTAACAGATATCGCTAGGATCGGTGGTTTTCTTTAGGCTACAAATGGCAGGGCCCTCTCTCTTGAAAGGACTCCCTCCAAGAAAAATTGAAAACTGGATCGTAATTTTAATAACACGAGAACTGCGTTACGTAATTTACTTCCGACGGGTCGCACAATTTTATACACGAGATTAACTAGGCCCTACTGCAATTCAGACCCACAGACCCTTTATAATTGTTCTGCGATTTAAAACAAATTTACGCGGCCGATTCGTGCTTTGAGGAGTTTGATGCCAATTCCAAGTCATTGAAGGTCATCGATCCCCTATTCTTTCTAGCCTTTTTCTCCTCTCCTTCCTGACCTTGATTCATTCCTGGGAAGTTCTTGAATTCCCCTAATTAATTCTCAGCATATTGATTGTCCACTTTCAGGTAAACAATGCGACTCGCCAGTGCATGGAAAACGGCAAGTGGTTCTTCCACGACCAGTTCAACAAATACTGGACGAACTACTCGCAATGCTTCGGCAGTGACCAACCGACGGTGTTCGTGCCGCTGCAGGACGACCTGTCGAAGATATACAAGGTACGACGTGCGATGCATGTGCGAAAACGCTAAGGCTGTGTTTTCCAGGACGTCGTGCCCATACTGAAGATCATACCGAGAATCGGTTACAGCATCTCGCTCTGCACGCTTCTGGTGGCCTTCGTTATAATGTTCTCGATCAAGTAAGTTTTTGGCACTCGCCAATCGGGAGCTAACCCAAGGTCAATTGTAGAAGGCTACACTGCCCGAGGAACAACCTGCATATGAACCTGTTCGCGTCGTTCATCTTCAGGGCCTTCCTGAGCTTGCTGAAGGACATCATCTTTGTGCAGGGCGTCGGGTTGTCCACCAACTTCAAGGAGAAGAACGGAGAAGCTTTGTTTTTGGAGGACACTCAGGTTTTGGACAACCTCAGCTAGTTTAACAGCCTAACAGGTGTCTTGTTTCAGACTAACAATTGGAGCTGCAAGCTGTTCACGACACTTTGGGAGTTCGTCATAACAGCCAATTACTCCTGGATTTTAATGGAAGGATTGTATTTGCACAATTTGATATTTCGGGCGCTGTTCACGGACTCCTTCAGTAAAATAACGCTGTACATCGTGTTGGGGTGGGGTGCGTATCAAAAACTGGCATGGAGTTTAGATTAATTTCTCCTGATTAGGTCTGCCGATCTTGGTCATAGTGCCGTGGGTGATAGCGCGCCTCTTTCTCGATAACAGCTTGTGTTGGACGACGCACGACAAGGACCGACAGACGTTGCTGATCATACGCATCCCCACAATGCTATCAATAATGGTACTGCTTGAATCTTTTAGCAAAAATTCTATTGACTGATGAATCTATGCTCCTGATACAATTTTTTAGTCGAGAAGTGTGTATTTGAAGAACATAATACATGAGAAGTCATCTTCCTACGAGTGTTCCAGCATGCACTTTTGTGATCCTGATAAATCAACCGCAGTTTTTAAAAGGAGACGTTGATTTTTAAAGCTTCTTGCGCTCCTTTGCTTCCGATACAATTTTTTAGTCCAGCAGCTTGTATTTGGAGTGCATAATCCGTGGGAAGGCAGTGTTCATCTTACCCTGATAAATCAACCGAAACTATTAATAGGAGACGTTAATATTTGAGCCTTCTTGCAATATTTTGCTCCTGATACAATTTTCTATTCGAAAAGCTCATATTATATGAAGAACATAATACCCGAGAAGGCATCTTCTTACGTATTTTCCATCTTGCTCTTTTATAATCCTGATAAAGCAACAGAATGTTTTAAAAGGAGACGTTAATTTTTATACTTTCTTGCACTCCTTTGTTCCTGATACAATTTTTTAGTCGAGAAACTTGACTATGGAGCACATAATACGTGAAAAAGCATTTTCCTACAAATTTTCCATCTTTCCTCTTTTGTAGTCCCGATAATTCCACCGTACTTTTTAAAAGGATGCGTTAATTTTTAAACTTTCTTGCATTACTTTACTCCTGATACAATTTTTGAGTCAAAAAGCTATTTTGAGGACATAATACGTGAGAAGGGATTTTCCTACGAATTTTCAATCTTGCTCTTTTACGTTCCTGATGAATCAGTCGAAGTTGTTAAACGGAGAGGTTAATTTTTAAATCTTCTTGTTCTCCTTTACTCCTGATACTATTTTTTAAGTCCAGAAGCTTGAATTTGAAGCACATTATTATGAGAAGGCTTCTCCGTATGAATTTTCCATTTGGCGCTTCTGTGGTCCTGATAAATCAACCGAACTTCTTAAACGAGGCTTTTATTTTTAAACCTTCTTGCATTCCTTTTTTCCTGATACAACTTTTTAGTCAAGAAGTTTATATTGGGACACATAATGCGCGAAAAGCCATTTTCCTATTAATTTTCCATACAGCGCCCTTATGATCCTGATAAATCAAGCGAACTTCTTAAACGAAAATGTCCATTTTGCGCTTCTGTAATCCTGATAAATCAACCGAGCTTCTTAAAAGAAAACGTTAATTTTTAAACCTACTTGCATTTCTTTGCTCCTGATACAATTTCTTAACCGAGAACCTTGTATTTGGTGAACAATACGTTGGAAAGCAGTTTCAATCTTGCCCTTTTATGGTCCTGATAAATCAACCGAACTTCTTAAAGGAGACGTTAACTTTTAAACCGTCTTGCACTCCTTTGCTCCTGATACAATCCAGAAGCTTGTATTTGCAGAACATAATACGTGGGAAGGCATTTTCCAAGGAATTTTCCAACTTGCGCTTTTACGATGCTGATAGATCAACCAAACTTCTTAAAAGGAGACGTTGATATTTGAAGATTCTTGCATTCCTTTACTCCTGATACAATTTTGTAGTTGAGAAGCTTGTATTTGGAGAACATAATACGTGAGAAGGCATTTTCAATCTTGTGACCCTGAGAAATCAACCGAACTTCCGAAAAGAAGACGTTGATATTTAATCCTTGTTGCATTTCTTTGCTCCTGATACAATTTCTTAGTTGGGAAGCTTGTATTTGTAGAACATAATGCTTGGGAAGGCGGTTTCCATCTTGTCCTTTTATGATCCTGATAAATCAATCAAACCTATTAAAAGGCGGTGTTGACATTTGAACTTTCTCGCATTTCTTTTCTCCTGATATCATTTTTAACTCGGGAATCCTGTATTTGGGCGCATATAATACACTAAAAGCTATTTTCATACTAATTTTCCATCTTGCGCATTTCTGATCCTGATAAATTGACCGAGCCTCTTAAAAGGAGACGTTGATATTTCAACCTTCTTGCACCCCTTCGCTCCGGATACAATTTTTTAGTCGAGAAGCTTTTTTTTTGAGAATACAAAACGTGAGAAGGCACTTTGCAAAGAATTCTGTATTTTACGCTTTTCTGATACTGATAATACAACCAAACGTCTTAAAAGGAGACGTTAAACTTTGAACCTTCTGCCACTCCTTTGTTCCTCATCCAAGTTTTTAGTCGAGAAGCTTATATTTGAAGATCATAATATGTGAGAGGGCATTTTCCTACAAATTTTCCATCTTACGCTTTTATGATCCTGGTAAAACAACTAAAGTTCCTTAAAGGAGACGTTCATTTTTGTACACTCTTGCCCTTCTTTGTTCCTGTTGCAATTTTTTATTCGAGGAACTTGTATTTGGGACACCCACACACGTGAGAGGGCATTTTCCAAACGTATTTTCCATCTAGTGCTTCTGTGATCCTGATAAATCAACCGAAATTCTTAAAAGGAGCCGTTAATTTTTTATCCTTCTTGCACTCCTGTGCTCCTGATACAATTTTTAATCGAGAGAAGGCATATTCGTATGAATTGCTCACCTTGCCCTTTTGTGATCCTTATAAATTAACCGAACTTCTTTAAAGGAGACATCAATTCTTAAACCTTCTTGCACTCCTTTGCTCCTGATACAAGTTTTTAGTCGAGAAGCTTGCATTTTGACCATATAGTACGTGAGAGGGCATTTTCCATCTAGCGCTTTAATTATCCTGATAAAGGGGATGTTAATTTTTAAACCTTCTCACATTTCTTGGCTCCTGATACAATTCTTTAGTCGAAAAGCTTGTGTTTGGAGGAGATAATACGTGAGAAAGCATCTTCCTACGAATTTTCCATCTTGCGCTTTTGTGATCCTGATAAACCAACCAAACTTCTTAAAAGGAGACGTCAATATTTGAACCTTCTTGCACTCCTTTGTTCCCGATACAATTTTTTAGTCGAGAATCTTTTTTCCTAGATTCGACCCTCACCGGAAACATGTTCCAAGTTCCAATTGAAGATAATTAACGAATAACAAACAATTTTAGATCAACACAATTCTTTTCATAAGGATTGCGAAGGTGCTGCTCAGCAAGTTGAGGTCATCGGAGAGTGAGGAGGCGAGGAGGTATCAGAAGTGGGCCAAGTCCACGTTGGTCTTGGTTCCACTGTTCGGCGTGCACTACGCCATCTTCCTAGGCATGTCGTACTACATGGGCAGAAATGAGATCATCGAGTTGGTTTGGATAATCTGCGACCAACTCTTCGCCAGCTTTCAGGTGAGTCACCTCGTCACATGTTCTCAGCTAGCAACTGTTTTTAAAGGGTTTCTTCGTGGCGATACTCTACTGTTTTCTGAACGGGGAGGTGAAGGCCGAACTCAAACCTTACCTCCACACTTTCTACCAGTACCTATTCCGAAGATGCTGTGCATGCTTGGAGGACGACTTCAAGTACTGCACCTTTTGCTCGTTGTTTCGACGTGGTTAATCTTTTTGTTTTCAGGACCATTAAAAGCAGATCGTCAGTTTGCACGATGCTTTCTAGCACTTCTCTATATAATGGGGTAAGCTCGCAAGGTCGGCACAAGGTGAAGTGGGACTGCTTACACCACACCAAGCCAACCTCCTCCGTCGGCAAAGAGAGAAACCACGAGTGCAAAACAACCGTTCGCAGCTGGCACGACATCTCGCCGAGGAAAGTCGCGAAAAGTGCCGAGTACACGACTCTAGCCGAAAAGCAAAAGAAGCTCGAGCTTTACTTCAACGCTAGTTCGTCGGTAAGTCTCAGTTTTCTAGCTTACAACAAATTCCACTTTTTCCCGTTAGGAAGTTGACATATCTCCGTGTGTGATTTGCGAAAGTAATTCGGAGAGATCCCGCTCCGAACCCCACCTCGGAATGGAGATGGTGACGATGCTACCTGAAGATAATTAGACGCAAGAGATTAACTGCAACACTGTTCTAGTCACTCAATACTGTACAATGTGTTTATTTCTGTATATATTAAAGATACTATTTTTTACAAATCGTTGCTCAGTTGTAAACGCCCGCAATGTTTTCCGCAACTATATATAAAGTACCCTGCGCTAAATTACAGGGGGTTGACTTCGTTTCGCTCGCGTCTTGACGCAAATGTCGCAGCGTGACCGATTTAACTTCGCTGACCGCTTCAGGATATCTCTCACGGCTCAATACCATTTCTCATGACTCAAATATTTTCCACCATTGAAAAGCCATTTTTCCGTCCAATCAGACCATTAAATTGACTCAATGTGGAGTTAATTCCTGATGACTCCGGCCACATAGAAGCCTCGATAGCTACGATTTCAAAATATACAAGATCCGCCTGTAATCCGAGTAATCACGTCACGTCCCACGACTAACCGGCGCCGCCAGCTTTCGTCCGCATACAAAATCGAAAAAATAAAAATCCGTTAACGGTCTCAAAATTAGAAACAACAAGGGGATACCGGACCCTCAAAAGGTGTCCGGTAAAGGGGACAGGCTCCTCGAAAGAGGGGAATGCTCCAACGTAGGGCCTTCTTCAAGGACCTGGAGGTGAGCCAGCTCCCGTACATGGACATCATTAAGCCTCAGCCGAGGTGCATTATGGCTGCATTGAACTCAGTTGTTGGCGAGACAGAGGGCAGGAGGGGGAGGGGGGCTCATTCGTCGGATGGCTGGGTACCGATACAGGCTGCCATTGTAGCCAAATGCGAGGTTGGAGAGGACCGACCTTTTATTAGGTCCTGAGATGTCGGGTCTGTGAGCATTCAGGGCTTATACAGGTGGCTCTCTCCGTTAACCCGAAAAACACCGAGATTATTCCATTTACGAAAAGGAGGGGAGCGGATCTTGATGGGCTTACTCTTCAAGGACGTCAACTGAAGCTGACCAGATCAGTGTTCCCCTGTGCATGGATAAATAGATAGAGTAGTGGAATACGGCGATATTGTCTTTGATTACCGGAAAGATTTTGTTTGTTTTGCAGTCGTCGTGTGAAAATCTCTGAATAAGCGAGAGATTACTCCACGTTGTCTTGATTTGTGGCCGTCAAGGTAATCTAAAATTAGTTTATTGGTGGAAAAGGTTGGTTGTTCGGGGAGAATCGTCAAAGAATTAGCGTTAAGCGGTCGGCACAGTTAAGTCGGTCACCTGTAAATTACCGTAGAGTGGTTTTATTTTGTACAAAACTCCCGTTGAGCCGCGCGAGCGTAGTTAAATCAACCACCGGTATGCGGTGTTTTATTTGTAGCAAGAGAACACGCCCCTAAAAGTGAGACAGGGTTAAGTTAACCGCCTGTAATTTAGCGCGGGGTGATTTTACACTGTAATTATCGTATTATTTGCGGAGACATTTCGTGCGTCTACGGTAAATTGGTTTAAATACATGTAAATTAAACGCCCGAAATTGCGAATTAAATTTTTTTTTGTGACTCCCATTTACAAGGGGCAATTTACGATTTAGAAACTATTACGTTAAATGCGAACAATGGTGGAAACTTTGACTCGTAAATATTTAAGTTCAGTGATCGCAAATAAAGTTGACTTGTGAAATAGCAAATACGGACAACATCGTATAATTAAACGCGCGTAATATATCGTAATATTTGAAGGTGAATGTTGACCTTTATTGATGAAGTATGACACCGAAAAAAGTGGGGTCCTTGAAGTTTGATGGCCTTGAAAATGAAATGACATCACAAAAATTGACCCGCTCCCTTAAAAATGGAATATAAAACCACAAAAATGTTACCATTGACCTTTAATTGACACCGACAAAAATGTCATTGTCTTTATTGGTGTTTAAAATGAGATAAAGACGCCACTGAGGCCTTGAAAATGAAATATTATACCCAAAAACAATCAAACTTGATGGTTTTGGTAACTTTCGGGTGTTCAAAATGAAATAAGACACCACTGAGGTCATTTTGATGAACTTAAAAATAAAATGACTTCCAAAAATGGGGTCATTGGCCTTTGATGGCCTTGAAAGTGAGATGACACCACAAACAAAACCTTGAAAATGAATATATACCCAAAAACAATCAAATTTGATGGTTTTGGTAACTTTCGGGTGTTCAAAATGAAATAAGACACGACTGAGGTCATTTTGATGAACTTAAAAATAAAATGACTTCAAAAAATGGGGTCATTGACCTTTGATGGCTTTGAAAGTGAAATGACACCACAAACAAGACCTTGAAAATGAAATATTATACCCAAAAACAATCAAATTTGATGGTTTTGGTAACTTTCGGGTGTTCAAAATGAAATAAAACACCACTGAGGTCATTTTGATGAACTTAAAAATAAAATGACTACAAAAAATGGGGTCATCGCCTTTTGATGGCCTTGAAAGTGAAATGACACCACAAACAAGACCTTGAAAATGAAGTACTATATCCAAAAACGATCAAATTTGATGGTTTTGGTAACTTTCGGGTGTTCAAAATGAAATAAGACACCACTGAGGTGATTTTGATGAACTTAAAAATAAAATGACATAAAAAAATGGGGTCATTGCCCTTTGATGGCCTTGAAAGTGGAATGACACTACAAACAAGACCTTGAAAATGAAGTACTATACTCAAAAACAATCAAATTTGATGGTTTTGGTAACTTTCGGGTGTTCAAAATGAAATAAGAGATCACGGAGGTCATTTTGATGAACTTTAAAAATAAAATGACTTCAAAAAATGGGGTCATGCAATCCTTTGATGGCCTTGAAAGTGAAATGACACCACAAACAAGACCTTGAAAATGAAGTACTATACCCAAAAACAATCGAATTTGATAGTTTTGGTAACTTTCGGATGTTCAAAATGAAATAAGACACAACTGAGGTGATTTTGATGAACTTAAAAATAAAATGACTTCAAAAAATGGGGTCATTGCCCTTTGATGGCCTTGAAAGTGAAATGACACCACAAACAAGACCTTGAAAATGAAGTACTATTCCCAAAAACAATCCAATTTGATAGTTTTGGTAACTTTCGGATGTTCAAAATGAAATAAGACACCACTGAGGTCATTTTGATTAAAAATAAAATGACTTCAAAAAATGGGGTCATTGCCCTTTGGTGGCCTTGAAAGTGAAATGACACCACAAACAAGACCTTGAAAATGAAGTACTATACCCAAAAACAATCCAATTTGATAGTTTTGGTAACTTTCGGATGTTCAAAATGAAATAAGACACCACTGAGGTCATTTTGATGAACTTTAAAAACAAAATAACTTCAAAAAATGGGGTCATTGTCCTTTGATGGCTTTGAAAGTGAAATGACACCACAAACAAGACCTTCAAAATGAAGTACTATACCCAAAAACAATCAAATTTGATGGTTTTGGTAACTTTCGGATGTTCAAAATAAAATAAGACACCACTGAGGTCATTTTGATGAACTTTAAAAATAAAATGACTTCAAAAAATGGGGTCATTGCCTTTTGATGGCCTTGAAAGTGAAACGACACCACAAACAAGACCTTGAAAATGAAGTACTATACCCAAAAACAATCAAATTTGATGGTTTTGGTAACTTTCGGATGTTCAAAATGAAATAAGACACCACTGAGGTCATTTTGATGGACATAGATTCTAGACTGAAGAGTTTTGATGAGCGTAATCTTGCCCCCGCAAGAGGTAGCGTCGCCCCTCGTTCGGGGTTTCGAGCATACAGTTGAATGTCGAAGACAATCACGGAATTAGGGGTCTTAGCTCAATTTTGAATACAGTTTTTACCACCCCGTTACTGCTTCATTCACGGAGAAAAATGTTAGTAACAAACAAGTCAGTACATACATCAAACGAATCGGTAATTTCCACATATTAAAATAAAATGATCAAAACTTATATGAATGTACTTCAGGGAAAAGACCAGGTAATTAACATCAATAAACATAATTTAAGCAAACCTTACACCAACGTAAACAATAACAAACAAAAGGATAACGGTATTAAACATGTCATTCTGGATTGCGGTTAAACGAAGTAAATTGCAAAAACAAAGATTGACACAAAAAATATAAAATGTGGCATACAAAACACAAATACGATATAAAGAAATGCAAAAATTACTACCTGCATTAAATAACACAAAATAACAACAACAAATTTTTGGAGCGGCCGCCATTCAGACAAGATACCAAACGTAACCAACGTTCCTGCTTTCTAGATGGCGCAGGCAGCTTTTCCCCTACTAAAAATTGCATGGTTGGCGGTTGCCAACTCTCAAAAATGTATGTATATTGTCGTAAGTTGTATATACAGGGTGGAACCTTTCAATGCTCTGAGAATTAATGGCTGTCTGTTTCTAATGATTAGATGTTGTTGGCTCAAACATTTTTGGTTCTCACAGGCCAAAATTGTTTAGGAGTCGTCTCTTCTTGTGGATCTGAAACAACTTTTTTTCTTGCAAAATTTGAAAGGGTTTACTCTAAGAATGAAGGGTCCTATCTCTGTTTCCAGTGGTCAGGTCAAAATTAATTAGTAGTCGTTTCTTCTTGGTCTACCTGAAACAATTGAAGGCTTTATTTGTCCTTTGGTAAGCATTTTTTTTTGATTCTACAGACCGAAATTAATTACAAATGAGAGAAATAGTGTGCCACGCAAAATGCCGGTAAACGTTTTTGAGGAGGAGTGAAGCATCGAGGGGTCTGGGGGGTATGGAAAGCCCCCCAGCCAGCACAATGTGCTTTCTCAACGACACAAAACTCGAAAATTCCTTTTGTTTTGCTCTTATCACTTTCATGGTAGTCTTTAGGAAGGAGTAATCGCATCTTCTTTTCTTGGGAGGTATTCCATACCCCCCAGTACTACGTTTTTGGAAAAGTACAGTTGTATCTTTTTTTCCTGAAAAGTATTCCATACTTCCCAGGATCGTGGTGGTAAGTTCGATGGTATTTTCTCGAAAATTATCGTATTAGCGCTAAGAGTAAACGTTTTTGAGGAGGAGTGAAGCATCGAGAGGTCTGGGGGGTATGGAAAACCCCCCAACCAGCACAATGTGCTTTCTCAACGACGCAAAACTCGAAAATTCCCTTTGTTTTGCTCTTATCACTTTCATGGTGGTCTTTAGGAAGGAGTAATCGCATTTTCTTTTCCGGGGGGCATTCCATACCCCCCAGTACTACGTTTTTGGGAAAGTACAGTTGTATCCTTTTTTCCTGAAAAGTATATTTCCATACTTCACAGGATCGTGGTGGTAAGTTCGATGGTATTTTCTCGAAAATTATCGTATTAGCGCTGAGACTAAACAGGAAGAGTGAAGCATCAGGGGGTCTGTGGGGTATGGAAAACCCCCCAGCCAGCACAATGTGCTTTCTCAACGACCTAAAACTCGAAAATTCCTTTTGTTTTGCTCTTATCACTTTCATGGTGGTCTTAAGGAAAGCGTAATCGCATCTTCGTTTGCTGGAGGGTATTCCATACTCCCCAGACCTCCGATAGTACATTTTTGGGAAAGGACAGTCGTATCCTTTTTTCCTGAAGCGTATTCCATACCTCACAGGATCGTAGTGGTAAGTTCGATGGCATTTTCTCGAAAATTATCGTATAATTGCTAACACTAAACGTTTTTGAGGAAGAGCGAAGCATCGGGGGGTGTGGGGGGTATGTAATACTCCCAGTCAGCTCAGTGTGCCCTCTCAGCAACGTAAAACTCAATTATTCCTTTTTTTGCTCCTATCACTTTCATGGTAGTCTTTAGGAAAAAGTAATCGCATCTTCTTTTCCTGGGGGTATTTATTCCATACCACCCAGACCCCCCGGTACTACGTTTTTGGGAAAGCACAGTTGTATCCCTTTTTCCTGAAGTATATTCCGTACCTCTCAGAATCATTATGGTAAGGTCGATGGCATTTTCTCGCAAATTATCGTATAATTACTAAAATTACGTTTTTGAGACATAGCGAAGCACCGGGGGGTCTGGAGGGTATGGAATACCCCCTTAGTCAGCTTAGTGATCCTCTCAGCAACGTAGAACTTGATCATTCCTTTCTTTGTTCCTATCACTTTCATGGTAGTCTTTATAAAAGGGTAAGTACCATTTTTTTGTGTACACCAAAAATTCAAATTCAAGTTAATTCAAAATAATTCCCGTAAATTCATGTAAATTCACGTTAATGCACGTTAATTCAAATTAATTCACTTTAATTCAAATTAATTCGCGCTATTTCAAACTAATTCACTTTAATTCAAATTAATTCACCTCAATTCCAATAAATCCACGTTAATTCAAATTAATAAACGTTAATTCAAAATAATTCACGTAAATTAATGTTAATTCACGTTAATTCGCGTAAATTCAAATATTCAAACTAACTCACTTTAATTCAAATTAATTCTCTTCAATTCCAATAAATCCACGTTAATTCAAATTTACGTAAATTCAAATTAATTCACGTAATTCAAATTAATTCAAGAGAGGTGCACACCAAGAATTCAAAGTTGTTTCCCCCTAGGATACTTCAATGACCCAGTATATCGCAAAAATTTTGACCGCAACCGCAAGATCCTACGTTGTGGTATAACCTTTGAAGAACGTGTTCATCAGTATATTGAAACATCAAGAAAGTTTAAGTCGTGATGACATCGTAAGTAGATTTCTGGAGGAAGTAAAACATCAAACCGGATTAAGACAGACTGGCGACAAAGACAGACGATAAGTCCAGAAGGTAAGAAGGCTGAAGATGAAACAAAACTCAAGGAAGCAAAGGAGAAAGTAGGAGTGACGATCGGGTCTACAAGTGCTATACGTGTGGAAATTTTGGACACACATCTCGTGACTGTCAAAGAGATGAAGGAGTTCTCGGGGCAACAACGACGCAAAAAAGGAGGGCATCGCAATGACTCGATACGTGCTCAAGACTGCAACTGGTGATGGTGCAACTGTTCCTGGAGAGATCGTGGTGGGCTAGTGTACAACGTACTTAAATTTTTGCAATCAAAACGTCTAAAGTTCAAGAGACTTGACTGATTTTGCTATCAAAGATGCACTCCACCATAAACTTTGGAGTTTAGAAGCTCATTGAATAGTTTGATAGGGTAGAATCAAAAAGTGAACCGAATGCTAGCTTTTATTCAAAACACTGTCTCTTCTGACGAATCTCGCTTTATACGGTTGGGGCAGAGCCGTAATTCCGGGTTGGGGGTCGATCGGTGGAAGTGGCGCTCCCTCTTCCGGTAAGATGTCGTAGGTCTTCATGACCTCCGCGAACACCAAAAATAGAATTCTCCGCGCCAGGGATTCCCCCAAGCATCGCCGCCTACCGATTCCGAAAGGAATGTAATTTTCGATGACGGCCAACTGGTCGTCGACCATAAACCGTTCCGGTCGAAAATTTTCCGGGTCGCCCCAGACGTCTTTGCTGTTTAAAACTGAGTACAGATCTATGAGGACTGTGGTATCCTGAAAAGGAAGGTTAAATCGTTGTCGCCATATCTCGACGGCCGGACTTGCCTTTGGGATTGTGTATCCTTCCAGCTCAGTGTCTCTGAGTGCTCGACGAGAGCCCCCCACTGGAAACACGTGACAGTACCTCATCACCTCAGACAAGGTTGCCTCCACGTATGGAATTCTATGCCTATCTTGGTACTGAATCTGATCGGAACTAGCGAAGGCGTCGTCTAGACAAGCCTGGACTCTGTGTTTAACATCAGGATAGTGCATCATCATCAGAAAGGCGAAGTCTAGTATTGCGGCACTGGAATGCGCGCCGCCGACGAATAAATCGAGAATAATCATCAAGAGCTGGTCGTCTACAAAGCATTCGTCAGTTTTTGGCCGTAAGAAGTAATTTCGTTACCTGTGAACGTGCCAGATTTATCCTTCGTGCGTCCTTGGGAGATGAAAGAGTAAATCAAATCGCCTGTCCTGTCCTCGCCCCAGGTGCTGTAGTGGTCATTAATTGTCTTCGTGAAGAAGCTCTTCAGCTCCATGTTCAAGTTGTTAATCAAGGTGAACCCCACCCAATCCGGTGCGATAAATCTAAGCCAGGGGAAGTTACTCAAAGTTCCGCCACCCATGTCGAACGCTTTACTTCGTGCGTCCAAAAGTCCTAGTAGCGTTTGGAATTTCGGATCGGATCTCTTGATACGCTGCCCAGCAATGAAAGACCATATAATGTTGACGACTGCCGGTTGCATAATCTGCCCGAACTGGACCTTCAGGCGGTCGTCATCGATCAATTGCTTCACATCTTCGAGCTCCTCGAAGATTTTCGCTTCCATTTCCATTTTCCCAGTGCGACTTTGCAGATTTTTGAGCACGAACCTCTTGTGCTCCTCAAATAGCGATCCTTCCGCACAAGTTATGCCTGAAACCCTCCCCATTAGAGCGGGGTCTCGCGCCGGAGTGACTTACCGGGGCACGATCCAATGGTGCGAAGCTTCGTGAAGAAGTTGTTCGGTCGGGCGAAGAAAGCCTCGTTGTCGAACACCTTTTTCAGGACGGGAAAGCTAGACACGCAGACGACCAGCTGGCTGCCCATCTTCATCCCGACCACGCTCGTGTTCCACTTTCTGCACATCTTCTCCAAGACGATCTGCTGTCGTCCTTTGGCCCGCCTCATCTCGCGGCGCATTTCCACCGAGCAGCCGACTAGCGGCCACCACATTGGACCTAAAAATCGCCGCTACTCCACTAGATCGCGAGGATCATGGCATACCTGGCGGAAAGTGTTTGGGTTTCTTCATCGAGTAGACGGCGAACACGCCCAAGCAGACGATCGCGAGCAGCACCACCAACATGTCTTCTGGACGCAGGTTAGCGGAGTACAGTGAGAATATCGAGACGTTCCGAACTTAAGCTTAAATAGGTGGCTGATATCTGTGCCACTTCAAATTCTAATGACCCATTTGATAGTACTACGGTGCAAAGGTTTCCAGGCGGTGAGAGGAGCTTATGTCACAGTGTCGATATCCATTTGTCAAAAGTACACTTGAGAGTAAACAAAACTACTTATCCAGATATCAGCACCTGGTGCCATGGCAGTTAAATGATGTCATGGTCAGTCAGGTGACTAGAACTCTACAAAATTGTAGACTCAGACTGGATGACTAGCGACTTGGGCAGATAGGGAGGTATTTTGTCGCACAGAACAAAATTTTAGTGATAACGCCAAGGACGGTGGCAGATACGAGTAGAAACACGGGTCACATTTTGTCGCACAGAAGCCATTACTACAAAGCCCCTTTCTAAACAAATTACGAAACAGTTATTGCGCACTTCATCATCCCTACAACTACATCCCCAATGGCGTCAAATTTTTTATAGAGGGGGCAAAGCGGAAACTTTTAAGCCTGTAAGGATTAGACTGGTTTAGGCACTCTACAAGGTGGCAAAATTAGAGGATGGAATTCTCCAATAAATGAGTACGTACATTAGTGGTAATCGTCATTTGATTTCTATAGCGCATTGTCCTCTTAATATATTTAGGAAATTCTCTACTCAAAAGAGTCGCAGATAATAAAGGGTAATAATCCTATCTCAGTCGGGGTTTGTTTGCAAAAATAGCTAACAAGAAATTTACGCAGCACTGACCAGTCCAATTACGGGATCGGGGTCTCGAGATTTGTTTGGAAAGCCATTCGTTGCTGGGCTACGAGATCGTTAAGTATGGTGGAACGCCTTGTGCAATACAAAGTGAACCCTTTCTATCGCCTGATAAATTTGACTGCTCGTTGAAAGTGAATCTTGAGAGAGGCTGACTACTCAAATCAGAAACAAACTGGGATTCAGGTTTATCGACGTTTCATAATTGAAATTTTGTTTATTCACTGGAAATGACAATTTTACCCTTATACACTCAGGCTTTAACAGCTAACAAAAGCACTAATTAATCGTCTTTATACATTTTATCGGTTGCTATTTAAATTAGAATGTTATTATTATTACCGCGCCCATATATATTTAGTTAATTAACTTATCTAGACTAACAACTCAAAATATAAACGCAAATGCATATCATCCTTACAATAAAGAGTGAGAGTAATATTTTTAAAATGTTTGTACCAGAATTACAGAAGTTCAAGGTGTAAAATGCTGAAGTTTTATGTTCTCCTGATACGAATTTCACTTGACAAAATTCTTGCATCAGGTTTACAGAAAATCAAGTGGTATTAAAATTAAAAACGAGTGACCTACACATTTTTCTGCTGGGTCAAGATCACATACAATTCAAACAGAGGTAACATTAATTTTTAAGAGATTGTCGTATCAGGATTACAGAAACGTAAGAAGGTATAAAATTAATTGGCGGATTTTTCCTGATAGAAATACTTAAACTGATCAGAAAACACCTATCAAACTGTCATTAGGTATCTTCCAAGGTATCACATTCTCGTGAATAAACGTCCTTATTTTCCTAACAAACATCCTATTCCAACAAATTTTCGTTCGAGAGATTTCTGATCCTCTTTATGTTCTCCTGATACACATTTCACTTTTGATTGTTGTATCAGGGGTAGAACGTGCAAAATTGGTCATAGAAATTCCAGGATAAATAAAATTTACTTACCAACATCTGCTTGTTGCTTCTGCGCTCGCGGTGCAAATTAATAATTACTGTTGTGCCAGTATCACATGAATTCTGGTACAAATTTTCCGCCAAGATCAGATCTTACGCAGTGTGTTCTCCCGAGACAGTTTCTTTTTCTAAAAACGGTTGAATCCGGAGCACAGAAACGCGAGACAATGAAAGACAAAACATTTTTACAGAAGTCTGTATTTTTCATAGAAAGCCAAGGTATACAACTTATTTGCAGGCCTCTTCTGGTGGTTTACGTTCTCCTGATACAAACTTCTCTCTTGATTGTGGTGTCAGGAGTGCAAAATTGGAATCACAGTATGTCCCGGATGTGTAAAATTACACAGGCACCTCCTTACTACTTTTATTGTGGCAGGATCACAGAAATGGGGGATGAGATCCTGGCGCAAATTCTTCTTAAAAATCTTTCCACCAAGATGAGATCTAATGCAGTGTATTTTCCCAATGCAAAGTTTCTTTTTCTAAAAATGGATGAATCAGGAGCGCAGGAACGCGAAACAATGAAAGACCTTTTTACAGAACTCTGTATTTTTGAGTTTAATATTAGTATAATAGAAAGCCAAGATATACAACTTATTTGCAGGCCTCTCCTGGTGGTTTATGTTCTCCTGATACAACCTTCTCTCTTGATTGTGGTATCAGGAGTGCAAAATTGGAATCACAGTACGTCCAGGATGTGTAAAATTAACTTACCTGCATCTCCTTATTACTGCTTCTATTGTGCCAGAATCACAGAAATGGAGGATTAGATCCTGGCGCACATTTTTCTTTCAAATCCTTCCAACAAGATCAGATCTTGGGCAGTGTATTTTCACGATGCAGTTTCTTTGTCCAAAAATTGTTGAATCAGGAGCACAGAAATGTGAGACAATGAAAAACTAAACATTTTTACAGAACTTATGTTCTCCTGTTCCAACGTCTGTCTTGATTGCTATGTCAGAAGAGCAAAATTGGAATTACAGTAAGTCCAGGATGTATAAAATTAACTTACCGCCACCTTACTGCTTGTTTTCTTGGTGCAAATTGCTTTTAAGAATTATTGTCGTGCCAGGAGCACAGAAATGGAGGATTAGATGTGTGTAAATTTTTCATTAATCAAAAGTTATAGGCTAGAAACCAATTTCGAAAAAAAATTCAAAGGGCTGTAACTTTTGAACTAGTAGCCCAATCTTGGAACGGTTTGAAATTATGGATTCTACAGGCCACATTCTATAAGAAAATTTTTTTTCCGGGTCGATCTGAGACATTTTTTTTCCGGGGTTCAAAAAAAGGCAGTGTATAACCTTCCTTTTTTACCAAAAATCGACTACACCAAAATTTCTCGGGAAAACACTTTTTCTTATTAATTTGGGTGGGTAGAATCCAAATCAATTCGTACTTTTTCGATCAGACTTCTCAATCAAAAGTTATAGACTAGAAACCAATTTCGAAAAAAAATTCAAAGGGCTGTAACTTTTGAACTAGTAACCCAATCTTGGAACTGTTTGAAATTATGGATTCTACAGGCCACATTCTATAAGAAAATTTTTTTTCCGGGTCGATCTGAGACAATTTTTTTTTCGGGGTTCAAAAAAAGGCAGTGTATAACCTTCCTTTTTTACCAAAAATCGACTACACCAAAATTTCTCGGGAAAACACTATTTCTTATTAATTTGGGTGGGTAGAATCCAAATCAATTCGTACTTTTTCGATCAGACTTCTTAAAAATCCTTCCCACAAGATCAAATGTTACGCGGGTCCAAAGTTTCTTTTTCTAAAAATGATTGAATTAGGAGCACAGAAACGCAAAACAACGAAAGACAAACTTTTTACAGGACTTATGTTCTCCTGTTACAAACTTCTCTTTTGATTCTTGTGTCAGGAGAGCAAAATTGGAATTGCTTAACTTACCGACACCTCCTTACTGCTTCTGTTTTCTTGGTGCAAATTGCTTTTAAGAATATTGTCGTGCCAGGAGCACAGAAATGGAGGATTCTCTCAAGATCAGATGATACAAAGCAGTGGCGTATTTACCGGGGGGGATGAAGGGGATATACGAAGAATTGAGTTATGAGATTGGGCTACTAGTTCAAAAGTTACAGCCCTTTGAATTTTTTGTCGAAATTGGTTTTTTGCCCATAAATATACCTATTATTCAAAATTTTCGTTGACTAGTTAAAGCAAAAGCAATAAAGGGGCCTGTCAGCAGTAAGAAATAAAATACTGTTCTAATCTAATCTTTTTCGCCTGTGCAACCCAATTTCTATTTCTTACCCCCCTCCTCCCCCTTATAGTACGCACTGGGTGACCTCAAGTTTAATCCCCCCCCTCACCAGAATAAATTTCTACGTACGCCACTGATACAACGTTTCTTTTTCTAAAAATGGTTGAAGCAGGAGCACAGAAACGCAAGACAATGAAAGACAGAACATTTTTACAGGGTGTATTAAAATAATACAAATTTCTTTACAATTTGCGCATCATTCAAATAACAAAAAGGACAAAAATATGCAGTTAAAAAATTTATAACATCTCAATATCGTTATCAGACTCTTCGGCGTTGCTTTCGCCCACTTCACTGTCTTCGTTCCACTCGTTTTCGCTTTCGGACTGCGGCGCGACGTCCATAATTTCGCTTTCCGAATCGCTGAGGCCCTTATCGTTGTAAACGAGAAGGGCGTCCTCCTCCTTGTCCTCTTCGGCGGCCGTCACGTTCGCGACCTGCGAGACCAGCAGGTCCAGGCGTCCTTTCAGTCTGTTGAGCGGCGTCAGCAGGGACAGTCGACTTTCTATGGAGCCCAAGACTGGCCCGAGCATGTTTGGCAGGTCGGGATTGGAGAGGAATATTCCCGCGTGAACTTCGAGGAGGTGTTTCAACCACACGGATCCGTATTGGCTCCTGAAAGAATACGCAATTGGCGATTAAGGGCGGATGGCCGAGAGAGATACCTACGGAACAGTCGTGCCTTGAATTAAGGCGGTCAGTTCTTGTACAAGTGGTAGAAGGACGGGCACCGGAAGCCTCTTAATTGTGTTCTTGATGACGCTCTCGTCGTGATTTCCGTTTAGTACGCTAGCGAGTATCGTTTTATTTTTACTGTGCAATCCCTGTACAAGTAACTGTGCTACATTGTTCACTCGAGGTGTTTTCGACTTACTGTCCAGCTTGTTTAGGGTTAAATTCTCGAGACGTATTTCCATGGGCACCTCTTGCCGTCCGTCGCTTTTCCTCTTGAACGTACCAGACGCGTGCGGCGTTAAGTAATGGACATTGTCCACTAAAGGCGTCTGGGTCTTTGCTATCGCATTGTGACCGGCCTTGGTCAAATTGCGATCCTCTCGCACTAACGTCTGCAATTTCTCATTGTCGCTTATGTCTATATTCTCGAATGTTAGCAGCACTTCGTTTCCGTAGCCGAGCAGTAGCGACAGATCGTCGTTGAGACGCGCGCCGACGATCGGTATCAGGCTAACCGTTTGCTTCTGAATTAAGTGAGAGGCCACCTGAATTTTTGTTCTGGGTTTGAGCGGTTTACTGCATTTGCTGAAACAATATTTCGCCGTCAGTCGACGAGGCAACTGTACAGGACCGGGGAGGCGGCGCAGCCAAACCAATTTCAAAAATATCAAAGCGAAGCGACACATGCATCTTTTAAGGGAGACTTCTAGCAGATTTCTGTTTTAAAACGTTGCATAACTACTTTATTGGACTGGCAATCGACCTTATTCACCAAACATTGTCTTTATCACAAAGATAACATTACCAGGGTGGTGCAAAAAGTCAACTGTACCATTGCAGCGGTCCCTTTCGAATTTTTCTAGAGGTTACCTGTCAATCGAAATTGTGGTAGTTCACGTTTACATTGCGGCACGTCAAATTTGACAACTGTTTTGCTACATTAACCCATCAAAAATCCGTTAGTTATAACGATCAAATATCGAGCACAACTTCCGTAAGTCTAGCTGAGATATTCTGCGCCAGAAGTTGTATAACCCAAAAATGCCATCGGGTTCACCAAGAAATAGTAAGCAACTAATTTCTAATTTTACTCGTTAATTTTGAACGTGTAAGAGATAATGGTGGTCCACCACTTTTACCAGTCGCAGCGACGAGTGGTTACTTTTGTAATATAAGAATTCATATACGCGAAAAGTTTCATTTCAGAAAGATTTGCGGATACATTAAATATTAGCCTGCGAACGGCGACTTCTATTTCACAAATTTCTAAATCGGGGAAACATGTAAGTCCTAAAAAAACAAGGCAATCTAAGAAACCCGTTGGCGATGTTGATGGTTTCACACAAGCAGCGATGCTCAAGTCCAAGTACTGTGGGTGTTATTACAAAAAAAACACACAATGATTTTTTTAATGTTTCCTTTACGTCCAAGTAATAATGTCCCACCTTGTTTGTAAAAGATAGACAGCCTGTTACAAATAACAGCCGCAACATTTTTTTTGGAAAATTGGTATACCACAGTGCATATGTATTCTCTCCCATTGATTGCATGATGTTATGTAAACATATCCTTAGTGATGACGTCATAATACACCAATTACGTGCGCGCAAAAAAAGGTAAATCCGATAATAATAATAATACAACCAATAAGGAGCGTCTTCTGACAAAGGACTGCGCATGTTGTGTTGCCTAATGTATGCGTTTATTTCTAGGGGGAAACAAATGTGAATTTTGGGTGTACACCCCTTTGAATTAATTTGAATTAACGTGAATTAATTTGAATTAACGTGAATTAATTTGAATTAACGTGAATTAATTTGAATTTTAACGGAATGAACGTGAATTAATTTGAATTTTAACGGAATGAACGTGAATTAATGTGAATTAACATGAATTAATTTGGATTTTAACGCGAATGAACGTGAATTAATTTGAATTAACGTGAATTAATTTGAATGAACGTGAATTAATGTGAATTAACATGAATTAATTTGAATTTTAACGGAATGAACGTGAATTAATTTGAATCAACGTGAATTAATTTGAATTTTAACGGAATGAACGTGAATTAATTTGAATTAACATGAATTAATTTGAATTTGAACTTTTGGTGTACACAAAAAACGGAACTTGTTTCCCCCTAGATTTATGTTGTCGGTACTTTTCTGAGAACCCAGAATCCAAAAAAACTGTCACCCGTTTTTTACTCACACGAAACAGCTGCACCACTTTTGCTAGGACCTATTAATACCTACCCATTTAGCGTGTGTTTGTAAAAGTGCGCAACGCCGCCCTGCGTCACGGCGACGACATTCGACGACCCCTCCGAGCACAACGTCGACACGTAGGCGGGCACGTCGTCCATTAGAAAATTCGCGACGCCCGTCTTCTCTTCAGATCCTTCGCTAACATTCCACACCGTAAGCAATCGGTCGCCCTACCGAGAAGATTAGCCTCTCGATTTTATGCACGGTTAAACTTACGCTCGAGCCGCTTATCACGTACGTGTCGCCTCCGCTGCTAGGACTGAGGTAATTTAGGAAGACGACGTCATGAGTGTGCCCGGTGAAGGTGCGCAGGACTTCTTGCGTCGACGCGTCGCATAACTTTAACATTTTGGCGCCTACCATTACTTTGTTGTAGGGCAACGCTAAGATTGAGGTTATAATTTCGTTGCCCACCTTCCACTTGCTGCAAAGACCGATTGAGGCAACGGTTTGGCGCGCAAACGACAGACCTACCTTTTCACCCATCTCTTCTCCAAGTTCCATTTCACGATGTTTTGATCGATGGCGGAATATAAAATAGCACCGTCGCACCACGACATACACTTTATTGGGAGGCTAGTCTCGCTGTCGATCGTGTAGTCTAGGTCTCCCTTACTTATGGAATACACCAACAGTTTTCCTGTGGACGTACCTAACGCAATGGCGGGTAACGACGTACTCGTAGAATCTTTGCGTTTCTTCTTCCGCGGAACGTGATTCTGCAAAAGGATAGTCATAAACGAGTAGTGAAACTTCAACTTACCTCCGACGAGTCCCTTTGAACGAAGTGAAGGCAAGTGCATGGTGAAGTTAAGTGAAAATCGGGTGTAAATTCTTGTAGGAAGGAGCTGGTGGACGTCTCCCATAGCTTCAGTTTACCATTCGTCGATAGTCTGGCGAAGTGTTTACCGTCTTTTGAAAATTGTGTTGCCATTGTATTTGGAAAATGTTTTGAAGAAAAACACGTTTTGAAAACAGAAAGTGAGGTTATAATATTGACATGATAAGCAACGGCGGGTGCAAGCTGTCAATAGTTAAAAAAATTTCCATTTCTTAAATACTGCGTAGAATCGAACAAACACGATCAGATTTTATGTACAGGGTAGTGAAGATATAATCTCGAATTTCTTAAAAATTCCAGTGTTAATTACATGGGAAAAATGTCTCTATTCTAGGAAAGAATGGAATTATGCAATTTTTTTGTTCGAATAGGCTATCCCTTACCAAAAACCACTATGGATTTTTTTTTCAAATTTTGATTATTTTATTAATGAAATGAATTTAATACTTGGAACCAGAGACGGTGCACCGGGTCCTTTTCACATGTATGAGCAATAAAAATTGTAATTATGCACGTTGCAAAATGCATGCACAGTTCAAAGCCAGATGATTCATTGCTGCAAGAGACTTGTATGCAATCTATTTATAGGGCCTGGGATATTTATGTTGCATAAACCGCGCAATTCTAGGGATAAATCGAGTTGCTTTGGTGTCACCAACATAGTAAAATACAGCGACGACAACTATGACGCTGAAATGTGGCAATGAAAATAGAATCGATTTGTACTGTGCTGTATGATGTTCTCCCCAAAAACCCGTAGTTTAGGTCTAATGGCTAAACGTTTTAGGGGAGAACGTAGCACCCAGAGGTATGGTTTTCCTAGTCTCTAGGAAAAAAGACCTATTTGACGATCAATTCCAACCCCCCAGTGTAACAGAAAATCTGGTGACCTTCTCTAAGCCTTGTACCATTGAATTTATAACTAAATTCAATGCTTGTACTAATTTCTTGATTTTTTTAAAGCGACGTTATAGACATCTACATTAGATTCAAAAAAATTTACTAGCATAGATAATTTTTGAATATTTAGACTCTTATAAATGGACCCAAAATACGAGGAGATTCGATGACCCATTGACGTTCAATTCCTTCTATGCAGCCTGTGGATTGTTGAAAACATTTTGGTGGAGAACGTAGCACCACGTGGCAACCTCTAGAGAAAAATTATATGGATGCTGATTTTTGTGCTCTCCCAAAATGTTTAATAACATGCAGAAAACATTAAATTCAAAAACCTCTTGTATACAATGTACTAAGTGCGAAATGAGCCACTTCCAGTATGTGTGATCTGCCAACGTTGTATTGGCAACAATGTAATGGTGGTTGTAAAATTGCAAACATGGTCGTTTACTACGACATTTTTTTACGTTAGAAAATGACTTTATTTGATTAATAATTAAGTATATTTATCTAAAGTTAGTCTATATGTATAAATTGTAAGTAAAGTTACATAAGGGAGTGAAATCGGCTTAACAATTTCACTTCAGCCTCTCGCACTGCGCTCCAATTTTTCTGTTTTCATTGTTTTCATTTTTAGGCTATGAAATAAACATTTAAGAGTTCAGCCCTCGCTCTTTTTTCGCTTCATCTAGTTAATGTTGCGGTTCGAATAAGCAAAGAGAGACGCTTATTTTGTTTACTGAAATCTTTCCACTTCCAGTTAGTTCACTATATATAGCGAAAATGTGGTCGTCTCAACAGACACTCGTCAATAACAAAAAGAACGACGTCATGCAAAAGAATAAGCACACTTTGGGCATGACCTCGGCGATCTCGTTGGCGTCACCGAAACAGTCCGATCTGACGAAGACCGCCGAGCTTGAGGAGGCGCTGAAGCCGTTTGACGTGTTCGAATCGGATCAGGAGCTCAATCACCGCATGGTCATTTTGGGAAAGTTGTATTCGTTAGTGAAACGGTGGATTCGCGACGTGTCAATTGTGAAAAACATGCCGGAGAGTGTCGCGGAGCACGTCGGCGGTAAAATATACACGTTTGGTAGTTATAGATTGGGGGTAAGTCGTCCGAAGTTAACGATTTTTGTTATGCTAATCTGATTTTAGGTGCACTGTAAAGGGGCGGATATCGACGCGCTGTGCGTGGCGCCGCGGCATATCGATCGAAGTGATTACTTCACGTCGTTCTTTGAATTGCTCAAGCAACAGCCCGAAGTGACGGACTTACGCGTAAGCATGACATTGAAGTGTTGCAGTAGTGCCACGCATTCTCCCTTATACAAGTGGGAGTTTGTGACATACAGTGTGAGGCAACAAAAACAGATAAGCCGAATTGTTTGTAAGTTTTTGCTCGAGGTTTGTTTTAATATCCCTCTGACGAGGCTCTCTAGAACTTTCTACGCAATTTCCAAAGCCTAGACGGTTCTAGAAAGTTCTAAAATGCTTACTTGTCGTCTGTCATTCTGTAATTCCCTACCAAAACTCTTTAACCCTTACACCGCGTGCATGGAAGACATTCAAACCTACAAATTCGTTGGGGAAAACTCTCTTATAGATTTCTGTGGCATTGGCTCTCTGACCAAGAGAATACACTGGTGAATTAGTGATAGGGAGTTGGATTGAAGAACTAACAGTTGTAGTGCAAATGCCACCTTACGCAAGGGCGGACGGCCTAAATGCCGCACCCTGCAAACAAGGTAAGAAGAAGCTTTTGGTAAGTGCACGGGAAAAACGGTTCCCACGAAAGTTTATAATTTTCCGTTCATTAAAAAGTATATATTTCTCTTTCTATTTGAACAAATTAAGTTGCCCTACACTTGACCCTTAAGGGACAGTTGTGTAAATAGTGTCATTAAATCGGCCCCTCCATATGAAGAATATTTTACGTAAATCATTTTTTGCTATCCCCCCCATTCATTGACTGTCTCAACATAAATGGGACACCCTGTATATGAATTAATTAAGTGACATTCAAATATAAGATTGGGAAACGGGTAGTCGGTTTACCGCAAATCACAAATGAAATGACCGCTACATCCCAATTCGTTTCGCTGACGCAGGTGCAATGAAACCCAATAAATCACCCTCTGAAACTGATATCTTTATCGTTATTGTTTGAAAAAACAGTTGTATGACGTCAGTCGGATTGTAAAAAGACGTTTTTGACTGTTTTACATCCTTTATGTGTAATGTACAGGGTGGTTTAAAATCGTGGCTCACCATTGCGATCTCCGTGACGGTTAGAGAATGTTTTGTTGAGAAATGAACGTAAAAGTATAGTGTGCCACGTCATTATTTTACTTTTTTTATCTGTCGTTTCGTAAAAATCCAATATGACCCGCTCCCACGGTCACCGGGGAAATTTTCTCCACCTCGTGGAAGTTACGCACAACAGAACTGAACATTGAATTCTTTAAGTGACAACTTATAGCATGGTAGACTGTATGATTTGCACGGGAGTAAAATTATCTCGCGCTGGATTAATGGAGTACGAGCCGAAGGCGAAAAATGATATGATGTGACTACTTCTTGTTAATTATCCGTATTAATTTGTCGTATTTATATCAGCATAAGCGAATATTATGAAGGTGATCGTAGCTCATTTGTAAGTTCGTTTTACAACGGCTGATAACGCGGGTTCAAACCCAAGCGCGCGCCTTTTTTTTTTTTTCATATTACGTCACAACAAAAAGAATAGAGAAGTGGGAGAAAGAAGTAGTCATTTCTGTCCGCATTTTTCCTTTGGAGGGGGGAGGGGGGATTTGATCCTAGCCCAGATCCATCGGTCCTACATTCTTCCCCTAAGTATTTATTACCCATATCACTAACACAACAATTTTTCGAAAAAGTTTTTAGGGTTGAATGAAGATTATACCTTCTTTTTCCTAGGAGGGTATGGGTATGGCGTTATAAAATAGCCCCCTGTGTACGACGGTCTTATGTCGTATGGAAATGATTACATTTTCTTTTTCCTGGGGGGTATTTCAGGCCCCCCAGTTGTACATTCTTCCTAAAAATGTCGAAATCCTTAACACTTACACCATCATTTTTTAAAAAAATATGGCACTGACACTATTGAGGGTGAACGTACCACCAGGGAGTATGGAATACCCCCAGCATATCAATGTCTTATGTTGTAGCGAAAGGGAAATTAGATTTTCTTTTTCCTGGGGGGTATTCCAGATCCCCCGGTTGTACATTCTTCCTGAAAATGTCGAAATCTTTAACACTTACACCATCATTTTTGAAAAACAAATTTGGCACTGGCACTGTTGAGGGTGAACGTACCACCAGGGAGTATGGAATACCCCCAGTATACCAATGTCTTATGTCGTAGCAAAATGGAAATTAGATTTTCTTTTTCCTGGGGGGTATTCCAGACCCCCCCGGTTGTACATTCTTCCTGAAAATGTTAAAATCCTTAACACTTATACCATCATTTTTGAAAAAAATCTGGCGCTGGCACTTTTGAGGGTGAATGTATGACCAGGGGGTATGGAATACCCCTAGTATACCAATGTCTTTTGTCGTAGTGAAATGGAAATTACATTTTCTTTTTCCTGGGGGGTATTCCAGCCCCCCGGTTGTACATTCTTTTAAAAATGTCGAAATCCGATGGTGTAAGTGACACCATCATTTTTAAAAAAAATATGGCACTGACACTATTGAGGGTGAACGTACCACCAGGGAGTATGGAATACCCCCAGCATATCAATGTCTTATGTCGTAGCGAAACGGAAATTAGATTTTCTTTTTCCTGGGCGGTATTCCAGACCCCCCGGTTGTACATTCTTCCTGAAAATGTCGAAATCTTTAACACTTACACCATCATTTTTGAGAAAAATTTTGCCACTGGCACTGTTGAGGGTGAACGTACCACCAGGGAGTATGGAATACCCCCAGTATACCAATGTCTTATGTCGTAGCAAAATGGAAATTAGATTTTCTTTTTCCTAGGGGGTATTCCAGACCCCCCGGTTGTACATTCTTCCTGAAAATGTTAAAATCCTTAACACTTATACCATCATTTTTGAAAAAAATCTGGCGCTGGCACTTTTGAAGGTGAACGTATGACCAGGGGGTATGGAATACCCCTAGTATACCAATGTCTTTTGTCTTAGTGAAATGGAAATTAGATTTTCTTTTTCCTGGGGGGTATTCCAGACCCCCCGGTTGTACATTCTTCCTGAAAATGTCAAAATCCTTAACACTCGCACCTTCATTCTTGAAAAAAAATTTGGCACTGACACTATTGAGGGTGAACGTATGACCAGGGGGTATGGAATACCCCTAGTATACCAATGTCTTTTGTCGTAGTGAAATGGAAATTACATTTTCTTTTTCCTGGGGGGTATTCCAGCCCCCCGGTTGTACATTCTTTTAAAAATGTCGAAATCCGATGGTGTAAGTGACACCATCATTTTTAAAAAAAATATGGCACTGACACTATTGAGGGTGAACGTACCACCAGGGAGTATGGAATACCCCCAGCATATCAATGTCTTATGTCGTAACGAAATGGAAATTAGATTTTCTTTTTCCTGGGGGGTATTCCAGATCCCCCGGTTGTACATTCTTCCTGAAAATGTCAAAATCCTTAACACTCGCACCTTCATTCTTGAAAAAAAATTTGGCACTGACACTATTGAAGGTGAACTTATTACCAGGGAGTATGGAATACCCCCAGTATACCAATGTCTTATGTCGTAGCGAAAGAGAAGTTAGATTTTCTTTTTCCTGGGGGGTATTCCAGACCCCCCGGTTGTACATTCTTCCTGAAAATGTCAAAATCCTTAACACTTACACCATCATTTTTGAAAAAAATTTGGCACTGACACTTTTGAAGGTGAACGTACCACCAGGGAGTATGGAATACCCCCAGTATACCAATGTCTTATGTCGTAGCGAAATGGAAATTAGATTTTCTTTTTTCTGGGGGCTATTCTAGATCTTCCGGTTATATATTCTTCCGCAAAATGTCGAAATCCTTAACACTTAACACCGTAATTTTTGAAAAAAAAATTTGGGGCTGACAGTTTTGAGGATGATCACTGGGGGTGTACAGTACCCCCCAGCGCACGAAGGTCTTTCGTCGTAATGAAACGAAAATGACACTTACTGGTTCCTGGAGGGTATGGAATAAGTATACGAAGGCCTTATGGTGTAGGTAAATGAAGATTACACCTTTTCCTGGGGGGGTACTCCAAACCCCCCGGTTTCACATTCTTCCCCAAAATGCCTAAATCCTTAACACTGACAGGGGCTGACAGTTTTGAGGGTGAACGCATCACCTGAGGTTCTTATGTTAGTGGTAGGTAAATGAAGATTGGCTCTTGACCCCCCCAACCCAGACCCCCTGGTTCTCCAAATGTCACCATGATTTTTGACAGGTTTATTTTAAACCAATTGATCGATGCGATACAAGAAGGGGAGGGGGGGTCATATGTAGAATTGAAAACGTAATAAAAGAGCAATCTTTTTGGGTCGTAGGATACCTCTGGCATTACTGCAACATTTTGAGCCCCTCCCTTCAGAGGTTTGTTTTGTTAACTCTCGGTCTCATCGTAGGCGGTCGAGGAGGCCTACGTGCCGGTCATCAAGATGAATTTCGACGGTATCGAAATCGACATGTTATTCGTGCGCCTGCTTCTCAAAGAGATCCCCGACAGTATGGACTTACAAGACGACATTCTGCTCAAGAATTTAGACCAACGCTGCGTGCGCAGCTTGAACGGGTGTCGCGTCACCGACGAAATGCTTAGGTTGGTGCCTAACATTGAAAATTTCCGGCTCACGCTCCGCACGATTAAATTGTGGGCCAAAAGTACGTAGCACCGTCGTAGTTTCCACTTAATCAATTTCTTTGTTAATTTATTTCAGAGCACGGGATCTACAGTAACGTCTTAGGTTATTTAGGGGGCGTTTCGTGGGCGATGCTCGTCGCGCGAACGTGCCAGCTGTATCCGAATGCGGCACCCGCCACGTTAGTCCATAAGTTTTTCCTGGTTTTCTCTCAGTGGAAATGGCCGCAGCCCGTCTTACTCAAGCAACCCATCAACGCGAATTTAGGGTTTCCCGTCTGGGATCCGCGCGTGAACGTCACCGACCGCTACCACCTCATGCCGATCATCACGCCCGCGTATCCTCAGCAAAACTCGACCTACAACGTCTCGCAGTCCACTCGTACGGTAATGATCGAGGAGTTCAAGGCGGGACTCGCGCTCACGGACGAGATAATGCTCGGCAAGCAGAAGTGGGACAAACTATTCGAACCGCCCCTCTTTTTTCTCAAGTATAAACATTTTATCGTACTTTTAGTTTATTCGGGCAGCACCGAGGATCACCTGGAGTGGTGCGGATTAGTCGAGAGTAAAGTTCGGTTATTAATTGGTAAACGCCGATCGTAATCGCCGGCATTCTACAGCGGTGCCCTTTTTCAGTTACGTTGGAGCGAAACACGCACATCAAATTGGCCCACATCAATCCGGAGAGCTTCAATCAGCTCGAGGCGCAGCAGGAACCGAACGTTCACTGTACTTTATGGTTTATAGGTTTAGATTTTATAAAAACGGAGAATCTTAACGTCGATCTTACGCACGACATCCAACAGTTTACCGAGACGGTAATACGGCACGCGATGAATATAAAAATGTTAAAGGACGGCATGAAGCTCGAGGCGCGCCACGTTCGCCGCCGCGAGCTCCACCACTACATCGCGCTCAGCTTCATTAAGCGCGAGCGAAAGGTTAGCACGAGCAAGAACGGAACCGAGCCGTCCAGCAAACGATCGCTGGACGCCAACGAGACCACGCCGACCGGGAAACGCTCGCGAATTTCGGACGAGGTACGTACCTACTGCTTGTGAATTGAGCTCGGCCTCGCCTTTTAGTACGGAAATTTAAAAATTAAATTCAATTTTTATTCCTAACCTCTCGCCGCCCTCTTTCATTTTGTGGGCGTAGTCGCATTACGTTGTAACTGAAGCAGAAACAATGTAATCCGTATTGTTATCCTACCATTTGAATTGTGTTGTATATTTCAGAAATGGAAAACAGTAGAAAGGTTAAAAGGTGAAAAAATTAGTTTGAAAGACACCTCGGGTATTATTTTCCCTTGATCGCTTTTATTCTCCTGATACAAACTTCCTTTTGCAAATTTTCAATGTCAGGATCTCAGAAACGCAAGTGTTTTAAACTGTGTGTCTTCTCACGCATTATGAAACTGTACGGTGTGAAACTGAAAAGTTTATTTTCTCAAAATGGAGATTTCAGTGCCAAAGAAACGCAAAATATCCTCTCAGGCAATAGGTCTCCCTGATAACAATTTCAAAAGTGATTGTAAGATCCCGGAAACCCTTCAAATTTTTGTAACATAATCCCAGAAACATAAGAAGGCGTAAACTCTTCATCAGGTAATCAATTTATTCTGCTCTCCTGATGTAAAACTTCATTTTGCAGATTGTCGGTAGCAGGGTCTCAGAAATGCAGATAGGTTAGAATTGATCACTACACACTTTTCGTGCATTATCTTCACCTCAAAATATTTAAAAATAAGGCCATAGAAACTTTAGAAGGTGTAAAATGCCTTCGCGTGTACTAGGTTTCCCTGATATCAATTTCCTTATTACAATTTTTTGTAACAGTGTCCCAGAAACCTAAAAGGATGTAATATCTCGATTCGGCTCTCCTGATACGAACGTAGTTCGTTCAGACAATCCATCAGGAGTATAGAAGCTCTAGGAAGGTGTAAAATACCTTTTCAAGTACTAGATTCCTTGGTTTCCTTCTTGAAAATCAGAATTCCAAGAAGATCAGAGGGTGTAAACTCTGCCAGGTAATCAATATCTCGCTTATTCTGCTCTCCTGCTACCAAACTTCATTTTACAGTTTGTCGGTAGCAGATTCGCAGAAATGCATTTAGGTTAGAATTGATCGCTACACACTTTCCGTGCATTGCGTTCATCTGATGCAAAGTATCTTAAAATTGAGTATATTACAACCGTAGAAACTTCAGAAGGTGTAAAATACATTCACGGGTACTAGGGTTTCCTGATTTTAATTTTTCTTCTTGAAAATTGTATCAGGATTCCAGAAATCTAGGTTGATGTAAAACTTTGTCAGGCAATAGCTCACTAATTCTGCTCCTGATACGAACTTTATTTTACAGTTTGTCGGTAGCAGGTTCTTAGAAATTCAGGAAGGTTAGAATTGATCCCATACTCACTTTCCGTGCATTATGTTTACCTGATGCAAAGTATCTTAAAATCGAATATATCAGGACCATAGAAGCTCTAAAAGGTGTATACCTTCTCGGATACTATGTCCCTGATGTCAGTTTTCTTCGTAGACATTTTTGTAACAGGATCCCAGAAACTTAAGAGGGTGTAAAACTCTGTCAGGCAATATCTCGCTTATATCTCTCCTGATACGAACTTCATTTTACAGGTTTTCAGAAACACAGGAAGGTTCGGGTTGATTGTTACCTACAATTAGAAACAAGACAGGGTGCACATTTTTTGTCAGGCAATCAATACCTCGCTTATTCTGCTCTCCTAATACAAAACTTCATTTTACAGTTGGTCGGTACCGGGTTCTCAGAAACGCAAGGAGGTTAGAATTGATTGATACCTATATCAGGAGCATAGAGGTTCTAGAGAAGGTGTAAAATACCTTCTTGGGTACCAGATTTCCCTGTTATCGGTCAGAAACATAAAACGACGTAAACTCGTTGTCAGGCAATATCTCGCTTATATCTCTCCTGATAACGAACTTCATTTTACAGGTTTTCAGAAACACAGGAAGGTTCGGGTTGATTGTTACCTACAATTAGAAACAAGACAGGGTGCACATTTTTTGTCAGGCAATCAATACCTCGCTTATTCTGCTCTCCTAATACAAAACTTCATTTTACAGTTGGTCGGTACCGGGTTCTCAGAAACGCAAGGAGGTTAGAATTGATTGATACCTATATCAGGAGCATACAGGTTCTAGAGAAGGTGTAAAATACCTTCTTGGGTACCAGATTTCCCTGTTATCGGTCAGAAACATAAAACGACGTAAACTCGTTGTCAGGCAATATCTCGCTTATATCTCTCCTGATAACGAACTTCATTTTACAGGTTTTCAGAAACACAGGAAGGTTCGGGTTGATTGTTACCTACAATTAGAAACAAGACAGGGTGCACATTTTTTGTCAGGCAATCAATACCTCGCTTATTCTGCTCTCCTAATACAAAACTTCATTTTACAGTTGGTCGGTACCGGGTTCTCAGAAACGCAAGGAGGTTAGAATTGATTGATACCTATATCAGGAGCATAGAGGTTCTAGAGAAGGTGTAAAATACCTTCTTGGGTACCAGATTTCCCTAGTTATCGGTCAGAAACATAAAACGGCGTAAACTCGTTGTCAGGCAATCAATATCTCGCCTATTCCGCTTTTCCTGTTGATTGTTACACACTTTCCGTGCATTATGTTCGCCTGATACAAAAGTATAAGTGAATATTATCAGGATCATAAAAGTTCTAGAACGTGTAAAATATCTTTTCGAGTAGGTACATGTTTCCCTGGTGTCGGTTAGCTTCTGAAGCATGTTTGTAATAGGATCTCAGGAAGCTATGAGTGTAAAACTCTTTGTGTGACAATATGCCGCTTACTCTGCTCTCCTGATACAAAACTTCAGGGACGCTTAGTATCGCAGTCGAGTCGACCTTCCACGTCACTGCGTATATCTCTTATTTTGCTCTCTTGATACAAACTTCCTTTTAAAACTCTTTGTCGGGCAATGTCTCGCTTATTCTGTTCTCCTGATACAAATTTCGTTTTACAGTTTGTCAGTATCAGGTTCGCAGAAACGTAGGAGGATTATAGAGTTGATTGTCACGCACTTCCTCGTGTATTATGTTCGCCTGATACAAAGTCTATCGTAAAATTGGTGTATCAGGACTATAGAAATGTTGGAAAATGTACAAATTCATTGTAGGACACATTTTCGCAGGTTTCCCTTTCTGTAATGAAAGTGTTTGTAACAGGATCTCAGAAATGTGAGAAAAAATTCAGTATCAGGCAACATCTCGGCGATTCTGCTTTCCAGATCCTTGTCAATATTGGTATTTCAGAAACGCAAGGTTAAAAATTGATTCTTAGGCAAATTGTCACTCATTGTGTGCGCCTGATACGTCTTTTAAAATTGCTGTTTCAAGCCCCCCCCCCCCCCCCTCTGTAGCGGTATAATATGAGCTTCATTTCTCGAAACCGAGGCCCAGTTGCGTGTGTCAATTTTTTACGCGCTCTCAGAACATCCCCTCTACAAAATTCTGGGTTATTGGGGTACCCTCAGGAGTGAAGGTGGGGGAGGGGGAGGCTAACCAACATGTTGATTGTTTGAACGTTTGTCTCCGAATGTGCTCATAAAAGCAGCACTCTCGTCATTGAAATTAGCTTTCCTCTCTACGAAATTCGATGTTCGTATGGGTAGCCATACCCCCTCTCCATATGTGGGTGGGGGATTCAGAGGTGGGTGAGAGGGGGGGATAGGAGCTACGTTTGCATTTACGTGTTTATAGTCGATTCTTTAGAAAATTTTCGAACAAACAACTATATTCTGCCTAGTTGCTTGACGCCATGTGACTCGGACTGTACAGAACATTCTAGAACGTTTTCCATTTTCAGTTTGATGACAAATCAGACGCGTCCCTGAGCTGCAACGACGATTCGAACAGTAACATAAGCGGAATCGAGGAGACGCCCCCCACCGAGACACCGCCATCGCACGCCCTCTGCACCTGACTATAATTCACCTTTACCACTTTAATGTGTAAGGACGTATTATATTAGTCGATGATAGTCTTGGTGTTCTACGACGAGCGATTCACTCGCACTATTAAAAACCAAAACTATTAGCGCTTGTTTATTTTCGACTGTAAATGTTGTGTTAGTTTTTCTTGTAGGTGTTTCCAGGACATTGGGCCGCCACATTCTGACGAACAAAGCGTAAGGGAGGTACGTTCTCTCGTAAAATATTATCGCAAGAAAAATCTGTGCAATTACTAGTGTGGGATATGCGCACGCGCGGCATTCAATACTTTAACTGTGCTGCGATAATATTTTACTTTAATAATTAACAAAAAAAAAAACATTTTATCCACGTTCGAAGATTCGCATTTTAGTTTAAGGGAGCTCTTCTTGCAACTTTAAAATTTATGCTTTTAAAGTTCGATCGAAACGAGCCTCCAATTTTGGGGCATCAAAAAATGACCTCAATTTTTATTTCATTTTGATACTCGTGTAAACAATGTACTATAAATATTCGTAATTATTTAACTTTATTCATTTATTGTAACGATTTTATGCTAGGGGGCTCTCATGGTTGTATCAATCAACTCTCATTGACTAACGTTTATTTTCTTTACTGTATAGAATTTATTGTAATTTTCATAAATAAAATTATTTTTCCCCCTACCGAGTTCGCTTTTATTTATCACCCTGTATAAGGCTGGGCGTGGATCCGCGGAAAGAAGTTTGAAAATTTGAATCGTCCCGTTATTTGTGGAGCTGAATTGATTTTCGAAGGGCGCAGACGCGCCACAGCATCCCTTAAAATGAGCGCTTTCTTTTCACCCCTTTCATCTCTTTATTTAGTTGGATGCCTGTGTGTTGTAAGTTGATTGTTTATCAATTAGGATGTGTACGTTTAAATAAAAGGTAAGGAAAATTATTAATTAAATTCAACGCCTCCCAAAAGAAACTTTCTGAGTAAACATCCAGTAAAAACGTGATTTTTTTCTATTAATCTAAACGCACTTCGGCTGTCCACAGCGAATTTGATTTTCTCCAAACTCGTGGACCGTTTGTTCGGGGGTAGTTTTGTGTTAACCTTTTGAAAATTAAATAGAGCGCACACTCATCGAATTTTGATTGGTAAACGCGTGATGTTGGGCATAATTCAGGGGAGGACATATACCCGCCGCCCCCCTTTTCAACATGCTTAATATTTGCAGGGGCCTAACGCTCCCTAAATGATTTTTGGGATACTAATCCACTCCCTTATGTTTAGGTGTTTCTGATTTTCTAAAGAAATCGTAAAATTCCCCTCCCCCGGTTGACGCACGTCTAGATGGGGTAAGACACCCAAACATGTTTAAAAAATATTCCGTTTATTCTTTGAAAATGTCTACCGTAAATTAAAGAAATTGCGAAGGGCACGATCTATAAGAGCCAAAACAGGTACATTTTTAAAATATAATTCTAATATTCCGCTTTTTTTAATCTAATGTAGTTTAAACAAATTCCAAAAAAAAATGCAAAAAGTACATGGTTAAGTTCTGAAATTTCAGGTCCATTTATAAGAGCCCAAATATTTAAAAATTAAGTGTGCTAGTACATTTTTTTTAAATATTTTTCAAACGCCACTTTTTTGAATCTGATGTTTAATTTAAAAAAAAACGGCAAAACCAACTGAAAAGCCCACGTATTTTAAAATCATGTCCGCTAGTAAGGTTTTTTTAAATATATTCCTCATATACCGCTCTCTAGAATCTATCGTAATTAGAAAAATTCAAGAAATTGCAAAAGGTACATATAACTCTGAAACATATTTAAAAATTATGTCCGCTGGTAATTTTTTAAATATTGTAACGTAAATTTAATTATGTCATTTATTTATTTATAAATAATTAACAATAAATTTATAACAGTTAATTTATTACAGTAATTATTATTTATCACTCGGTATTCATAAGATAACTCGATCGCGTCGATGTTGGAACTGACTGGAAGCGCAATTCGGTTTGCTTGTATAGAAAACAAGACAATTGATCTAGAATGTTCTTAGAACGCTTCGAAATGTTCTACAATAATCGTACGTTATTCACATCCGCTTTTGTTCTTTATCGTCGATGACTCATCTTTCATGGCCCCTCGATGTCTATTGGGATTTATGGAGTAGTTGCTATAATATCTTCATAATTATCCGCTTTTTTGAATCTAATGTAGACGTCAAACGTCGCTTCAAAAATTCAAGAAATTGCAAAAAGTACAAGTTTAAGTTCTGAAACTTAAGGTCCATTTATAAAAACTAAAATATTGAAAAATGTGTTCTAGTCATACATTTTTTAATATTCCGCTTTTTTGAATATAATGTAGTAGACGTCTATTTTAATCTAGTATACGTCTAACCATTGAATAAAAAAATAATTTTTATTCGATGGTCTAACGTAGTAAAAAATTCAAAAAATTGCGAATGGTACAAGTTTAAGTTCTGAAATTTATAAAAGGTCCATATGTAAAAGCCAAAATATTTAGTTTAGTCAATTTTTTAAACATCTCTAATATTTCGGCATTATTTTACTATATATATAATGTAGAAGATTACAAAAAAATTCAAGAAATTGCAAAAGGCGCCAGTTGATTTAAGTTCTGGAACATAAGGTCCGTTTATAAAAGTAAAAATTTTGAAATACCTTAGTAGTCCCAGCGAACTTCGTGCCGTCTTTGTGAAATCCCATTTTTTCCTGTGCCCCGGTTTTTTCCGCCTATCCCGTGAGAACTTTTTTCGAAGTATGCCTTCGAAGAAACCTACATTCTAAATGTCAAGTCTCTTTCCTACTGTAAAACAAAACAAAAATTTCTGTTTCCGTTTCCGTGGGAATTTCGGATAGTGTTTTAGTAACTTAAAAACTTTAGCAGGCATACGTCCAAAAGTTTCATCGCACTCGGATGAACAGACAGACATACACACACTCATTTTTATTTATAGGTACATTGTGTATTTTTAATCAGCGCAAGTTGAGTTCTGAAACTTAAGATCCATTTATAAGAGCAAAATATTTACAAATTATAATTTTTTAAATATACAGTGTGTCCAAGATAAGGATGTATCTCATGAGGATTTCCGAAACCACATCGTTGTACCGCTGTGCCCTATTTTAGTGGAGACTGCGATGTATCTCGGTTGTTTTTAACGATAGAAACTTGAGGTTTTCGCCACTCTGTCCCACTTTTTTGTGAGATAGAGGGTGAAAACGAAAAGTGTGACTTTCTTGGATGTTATCATATCTTACTACCCATGTAAGATAGAAAAATGAAAAAAAAGTTTTCGCTTTATACCGCATTCTTATAAATAAGAAATTTAGCATTGCGCAATTTATGCATGCGCACACTTGATGTTTAAAATCTGCGATATGTTTGCCTTTTCTGAAAGCTTCTTTTGTTAAAGTTTCAAAAAAATATCTGTACAGGTAAGAAACTTCACATTGCACAGTCTGCGCATGCGTAAATCTGATATATGAGATATGCTAGCCTTTATTGGAGGCATCTTGAGGTTTAAATTAACCGTGGCGGATGGGAGACCGGACTTCAGCAGTTCAATTATGCCAAACCTTATCGAACGCCTTTGAGACGTCCAAAAAGACTGAACCCGTGGACTGGTTCCGGTTGAACCCTTCTGTCGCATGTTTTACAGCAACTGGTGGGCCCTCCAGTAACCCATCCGAATTGCTCGTCTTGAATAACGCCTCTCTTTCTTGTCTGGGGGAATAACGGTTTCATTTCGGTTTTCGGTCCTGAAAAAAATACCGGTTTCGCTCCGGTTTACGGTTCTTTTTCGGTCCGGGCCGGGTCTCTGCTTTGAAACTTAAGTGCCGAGCGAGCCGAAGGCGAGTTCACTACAACCGTAGGCAGAGTATTTGTCTGATTGAGTAAGTCACCTTTGACATTGACCTTGGATCGCTAGGGATTAATAGAGATCTGTTATGAAACATCCAATAAAAGTGAACATTTGACTTACACCATCAGACTTTTACTCTGCCTATTTATGGAAAAATTTCAAAAAAATATTTCCATAAATAAGAAAGATGTCTTTGCGCATGCGCACAACTGATTTTTACAATAATAATAATAATAACAGCGTCTTTATTCTACTACCTAGTAATTAAAGTTTTGATATTTGATACTCGGTTACAAACTTCTGAAAAAACCCCTTGGTGGCTACAAAAATTGTTTAAAGGCACCTTAAGGATCGATATAAACTTTAAAAATCTCTTAAAGGTTTTTAAAGACACAATTTCTTACATCGGACGGTTCCGTTTCTATCACGGCTGGAAACAGGAGGGGGTACTGTAACGGGAGAAGACTTAGCTATTATTTGTTTCTGTTACCACACATTTTTGAGTTCTATTCTGCCTTTAGAATAACTATGGAGCTCATGTTGAAAATTTTCTGCACTATCAACCGCTGAAATGCGACGTCTACTGCTTTTAATCGACGTGTGCCGTTCCATCCACGTCGGTTTAGGTAAGCTGAAATTGGCACGCGAAAGATTCATTCTCACTACAATTTTCCAGGCTTCTACAACTCGACGACGAAGCTCGACGAGGACTACTACCTCAATTACGACTACGAACTGATCGGTAATGTGTCCGAGATGTCGGAGGCGAAATCGGACCTACTCATCCTCCCCAATCCCGAGACCTTTCAGTCGAAGTACACCGTCGACGTCCTGCCGAAGGTCGACCTTCCCGACGACTCGCTCGCCGACACGGACCTGCGCGATCACGACTTCATCGACAATCTAATGTACGTCTACTACGGCTCGCACAATCGGAACGGTAGCGGTTACGGATCGGAAATAATCATCATCGGGTCGGTTTTGAGTTGCGCCGCCCAGCTCCTGACGATCTTCTGCGTTCTGCTGCGCAAGAATTTAATCGGAAAGAGGGAGATCAACAAAATGTTCCTTCATCTCATGGGGTGCCTGTGCCTGTCCAATCTCGTGTTCATGCTGGGGGTATATGTGAGTAGAGAAATTAATTGGCTTAAGTTCAAGCGTCCCACGTCTACTGGACTTAATTAATTCATAAGATTGGAACTGTAGCTACTAGGAGAGCATAATAATCGAAGCTCCATTTTAGGAAAGCCGCTTTAATCCCACCAGGAGAATGGTTGCGGCTGTCTTTTTTCATAGCAAACAATCTATTACAAAGCAAATTTCGCTGGTTACCAGGAGACCATGATTTCCCATAACCCATAAACAAGTAGGGGGGTACTGTAATGGGAACCCCGAACCATCTTGCTTTATGTTGATGATTCTTGCTGAAAAGCCAAGCCATCTCACACTCGTTATTCTTTTAGGCCACGAAGAGCGTGATTAAGTGCCAAACCGTCGCGCTATTGCTCCACTACTTGCATTTACTCACGGCGTTTTGGATCTTTCTTTACTGCTACTACGTCTACAAGTCCCTGTCGCACAGTTCCGTACCGAAACTGAAATGTCTATTCACAACGGCCTACGGCTCTCCCGCTCTACTCTCCGTCGTATCGTTTCTCCTGGCCCCGAAGAGCTACGAGACGAAGAAGTTCTGCTTCGTGTCCGTTCAGAAGGGAATGCTGATCAATTACATGCTGCCGATTTCCATTTTGATTGTAATCACGACGATGTATTCGCTGAACGGCATACGAAAGATTAACCTGGAGCTCTCCAAGCTCGAGATGACATCGTCGGCGGAGTCGCTGAACATGCTCCGGAGCGAATCGGAGTGTACCGAGAGCGATAAGAGACTAGATGTCGCCAGTGAGGAGGTGACCAGTTTGAAGGAGTGCAAGGGTTGCCTCAAGGTACTGTGCGTTATACAAACGAGCTACGACGTCGTCTGGTTCACCGCCGTCTTAGCGTTGGAAAACGTCAACTACAGCAATAGCATGCCAATATTTTATACCATCTTTTCATTGTTACTGGTGAGGTGAGGTGAGGAAACCCCGACCTTTAACCGAGACTGTTTCAGAACTGGTACATTTTCGCCAAAACCAAAGCGTTTCTGCCCACGATTTTCTACACTGCCGAAGTCGTCGCCGACATTGGAAGTCTTGAGATTGACAAAACCGCAATGGGGAACCTCTCCGTTTCGGCATCGCGACGTAGTTCATCAGACAACGTTCCTTTACTCGTCAACTCGGACTTGTGTACGGAGATGCACGAACTGCGCCAAGAAACTATAAGTACTATAAGTAGTTAAGGAAATGAGAAGAGATTATGATGCATCGGCCTATATCAGTATTAATATAACTTCTTAAACATTTAACTGACAAAATTCTAAATGTTGTAGATTACTGACAAATGTAATCTGTAAATAATCATTTATTAGATAGTTTGTTTTTATATTTATCCTTCTCGAAAAACGTGTTAGACTAAGGTTGTACATTTTGTTATGATCTAAGAGTTTATTACGTTAAATGAGAAAGATTAGGGTTGTGGTTGAGTGTGAAAATATCTAATAAAGTGCTGTTTTATTGAGGCTTTCAGCTGGTGTACCACGCTTCTAGGTCGTCCACTGCTGTCCGGAGTCTCTCAGACACGGCCGCTGGTTGCCACGACCTTGTCTGGATGGCGTAGAGAACAGTCTGGACCGTGGCTAAGGGGAGACCGGACTTCAGCAGCTCAATTATACCACACCTTATCGAACGCCTTTGACACGTCCAAAAAGACTGAACCCGTGGACTGGTTCCGGTTGAACCCTTCTGTCGCATGTTTTACAGCAACTGGTGGGCCCTCCAGTAACCCTTCCGAAATACGATTTGAATGACGCCTCTCTATTTTTTCTGGGGGAATAACGGTTTCAGTTCGGTCCTGAAAAAATACCTGTTTCGCTCCGGTTTTCGGTTCTTTTTCGGTCCGGTCCGGGTTCCCGCTTTGAAACAAGTGCCGAGCGAGCCGAAGGCCATTTTAACATCCTTGACTAGATTCTTGATATCTTCGGATTCTTACGTATCTGCGATTTTCTTCAAGTACTTAGGCATTCTTCGACTTTTCGGCTGCTTAGGTTATCTCGTTTTTTTTTCTGGGAATTGAAGCGTTCCTTAAGTGTATCTTCTACGATTTTTTCAACCCTAGGCCCATCCCCTGATATTGGGTTTATACTCTTGGAGTTACAGTAAGACGTAGTTTTTTATCTTGGTCGGTATTTTCTACATCTAAAACGATATCATGTTTCATGAAATCTAATCTTTTATCAAGTCAGCGCTACTCGTAATAGCAAAATACACTTCAACACGTGTAATGCATTTCAAACACAAACGAAAATATCAATTTCAGGACTTTACTCACCATGAAGAGGATCAGCTGCCTTTATTTCTATCAAATTCTTTTTTCTGGTAAATGGTGAGGGCTTTGCTTATTTAGTTTTTCCTTCTTTAAACAATTACTGACAAAATAAATTTGGGACCCGAAAATCAAATTTAATTTCTGAAAATCCCGAAAATTTTGGGAATGGACTTGATGAGGAAGTTCGGGTTTACGATCGACCTGAAGGATGAAGTGCTTATTCGAGTGGACCAGGAAGAAGTTCCTATTCTTCTTGCGAGAAAGTTATGATGAACCGCCGTCCGTGTTACGAGACACAACATTTTTAAGAGAGGGGGCAGTGTAGCGAACTACGTTTTACTGTAACTCCAAGAATAGGGACCCAATGCTGGCATGAGTCTGCGTCAGAGAGAGAAAGAGAGATGAGTTTGAGTGGATTCTGGCCTTCCCCTAAAATTCGAAAAAGTCAGACATAATGAAGACAACCGCGAAGGGGTGAAGAAGCCTACCATCGGGTTTTAGTACAAAGAGCTTTCCCCGGGAGAATTTTCTGGCGCCATCGTCATTTCCCCAAAAGAACATACGCTGCTTGTCTTAAAGCAAAGGCAATGGGGGAATGCAAGTTAAATTTGGGGGTTGTCGGGCAATTCTGATTGGTAATTGATCTGCACATGATCCATGGCAATAAATTCAGATATTGTGAAAAATAATTGTAACTAAACTTATGGAGTTTTGGAGTTCTGAAATGATTGTTAATGCCAAGTTGAATTTAAACAAATGATAAAAGTACTATTTTTGTTTTAAGTGTTTTGTTATTATTATGAACGTGATAGCAGATTTAAATTACGTGTCCCATTATACTGACGATGTTACCTTGAAACTTCTTCAGTTGCAGAGAACGGGAATGTATGTACCTAATGTTTATGGAAGTAGCGAGAAAAAAGTGTTTGTGGTACGAAGGAGACAAATTTTTCTCATGGGTGTAGTCTCAAACCTGGACGGATCCTCCATATTCGGTCCTCAAGTTATCTCACTGCTCCCCCAGGTCAAATTTGCGCATGCATGTCCTTGTTGTCCATAAGAAGAGGAACTGTAAGGTCTTTTAATGGCTTCTACGAATTTTAGTAACAAACACGTCAAAGTTGAAGTGGAAAACAGGCACCTAAGATAATGCGATAAGATTCCGCCTCTTAAACGTGCTATAAAAGCGTGGCCAAACGTAAGCTACCTATATACAAAATTAAAAATGATTAAGCTACTGATCCTGAGTGCCCTACTAATGGTATTTGTTGGCATGGTTGCAGGCAGTTGCGACAAAAACTGTTATTGCACTAATGGGGGATGTAAGTCAAGTGAACAACAATGGTAAGCACTTCTTTTTCTCTAGACCAGATATGTTTGATACCAATAAGACGATCACTGTTTTCACTACCACAAATTGTTGCATAATTTAATTAACATCATTCCTTTTTGCTTTTTAGTGGCGATTGTCTGACCGATGGAGCATGGTGCTGCGACAAATAATAAGAAGCCTATGGACATTGAAATAAATGACTTGTTCCGTACAAGATACGCTTGTGTTAATTATAAATTGAATGTAAACAATTAAATAAATCATATACCTATAGCAAATAAGTAGGTAGTGTTTTGCTTATCTTCGAAATCATTACCTATCGAAAATAAAAGTCGAAAACCTTGTCTTGAAATGGTACAGAGGTGTTTATTTCTGGGATTAAGAGTCGCACTTGTCTGTTATTTTTGCAAATATGATAGTCTATCTTTAACCATTTCCGAAGCACCAGATTTTAGTTTTAGACAACGCATTTCCAATTAGTTTCAATATTACGACCACTTTCTCTGTTCGTTTCTAAGCTACTTTAGGAGCATTGTAACGTTTCGCTTCTGCGTTGAATACACCCATAGGGAGTATTCGACTGAATGCGATTTCAGTGTGTGAATCAGAGACTAATTGTTAGTGTGAATGTGACACTTTGGCTTTTGTCATTGAAATCTTATGAAATTCTTGAGGCATCAAGTTAAAATTGCCGAAGTTACTTACCTAAACGTCTTAGCGTGAATGGGTATTTGCTAACCTTAATCTAGCTAAACATATTTTTCATTATTTCTAAGTTACTTTATATCACATCTTGTACTTATATGGAAACCCAGTCGTAGGAGTAAGCAAGGTTAATCGTAGGTACATATGTTTGATTCCGCATTTTAGTTCCTTTCTCCGGATATCTTATCTGTACCGAAACAGTATCGTTAACACTTGAGTATTCGACAAACTAGTAGCTTGATCTACTGAAGCAAGGGTGGTGGATTTCCATCCATAATCTCGGACCGTAGTGTTACCTACGTCGAGTTGCCGAAATTCGTTCTCCCTTTTTTAAGCAGTATAAAGATGGTAACATTATTTGTATAAAATCTGCTTTGGTTGTTGATGACCGTATATGCGTTGGTAATTCAACAGCCTATATATTCTTTGTGTATCGTTACGCCCTTGTTGTATTGTTGCATGTATTGATTGTAGCGAGTATTCCGCTTGTGGACCCATTGTCCATATTTATTAATTGTTAGAGATTTTCTATTGCATTTATCGATTATGTAACGAACGGCTGTGTGCACGTAATGTAAATTCGAGCAGATTTTGCCCGTCATACAACCGTTTTATCTGCTCGAATTCATCGATTAGGTACACTACAAAGCTAATTCCGTTACTGTATTGAACCATACACAAATCTAGCTAGCTTTTTAAGGGTGCGTTTGCACGTCACCCCCACACAAAAAAGGTTTCAAATCCTCATGGTGGTCAAAACGTTAATACTCATATTTTCTACCACCCAAAAAAAATGGCATTCAATTAGCGACCGTCTGAGGGGGTGAAATCTTCCACTAACGTACAAAAAAATTCGTTTAACCCCCACGCAAGAAAGGTTTCAAATCCTCATGCTGGTCAAATCGTTTAGACTCATATTTCCTACCACCGAAAAAATTGGCATTCATTTAGCGACCGTCCGAGGGGGCGGAATCCGCCCCTAACGTACAGAAAAATTCGTTTAACCCTCACGCAAGAAAGGTTTCAAATTCTCATGCTGGTCAAAACGTTTAGACTCATATTTTCTACCACCGAAAAAATTGGCATTCATTTAGCGACCGTCCGAGGGGGCGGAATCCGCCCCTAACGTACAGAAAAATTCGTTTAACCCTCACGCAAGAAAGGTTTCAAATTCTCATGCTGGTCAAAACGTTTAGACTCATATTTTCTACCACCGAAAAAATTGGCATTCATTTAGCGACCGTCCGAGGGGGCGGAATCCGCCCCTAACGTACAGAAAAATTCGTTTAACCCTCACGCAAGAAAGGTTTCAAATTCTCATGCTGGTCAAAACGTTTAGACTCATATTTTCTACCACCGAAAAAATTGGCATTTATTTAGCGACCGTCCGAGGGGGTGTAATCCACCTCTAACTTACAAAAAAATTCATTTAACCCTCACACAAGAAAGGTTTCAAATCCTCCTGCTGGTTAAAACGTTAAAACTCATATTTCCTACCACCCAAAAAAATTGGCATTCATTTACCGACCATCTGAGGGGGTGAAATCTTCCACTAACGTACAAAAAAATTCGTTTAACCCCCACGCAAGAAAGGTTTCAAATCCTCATGCTGGTCAAATCGTTTAGACTCATATTTCCTACCACCGAAAAAATTGGCATTTATTTAGCGACCGTCCGAGGGGGTGTAATCCACCTCTAACTTACAAAAAAATTCATTTAACCCTCACACAAGAAAGGTTTCAAATCCTCCTGCTGGTTAAAACGTTAAAACTCATATTTCCTACCACCCAAAAAAATTGGCATTCATTTACCGACCATCTGAGGGGGTGAAATCTTCCACTAACGTACAAAAAAATTCGTTTAACCCCCACGCAAGAAAGGTTTCAAATCCTCATGCTGGTCAAATCGTTTAGACTCATATTTCCTACCACCGAAAAAATTGCCTCATATTTATCCTACACCGAAAAAATTGGGCATTTATTTACGCGACCGTCCGAGGGGGTGTAATCCAACCTCTACTTACAAAAAAATTCGTTTAACCCTCACGCAAGAAAGGTTTCAAATTCTCATGCTGGTCAAAACGTTTAGACTCATATTTTCTACCACCGAAAAAATTGGCATTCATTTAGCGACCGTCCGAGGGGGCGGAATCCGCCCCTAACGTACAGAAAAATTCGTTTAACCCTCACGCAAGAAAGGTTTCAAATTCTCATGCTGGTCAAAACGTTTAGACTCATATTTTCTACCACCGAAAAAATTGGCATTCATTTAGCGACCGTCCGAGGGGGCGGAATCCGCCCCTAACGTACAGAAAAATTCGTTTAACCCTCACGCAAGAAAGGTTTCAAATTCTCATGCTGGTCAAAACGTTTAGACTCATATTTTCTACCACCGAAAAAATTGGCATTCATTTAGCGACCGTCCGAGGGGGCGGAATCCGCCCCTAACGTACAGAAAAATTCGTTTAACCCTCACGCAAGAAAGGTTTCAAATTCTCATGCTGGTCAAAACGTTTAGACTCATATTTTCTACCACCGAAAAAATTGGCATTCATTTAGCGACCGTCCGAGGGGGCGGAATCCGCCCCTAACGTACAGAAAAATTCGTTTAACCCTCACGCAAGAAAGGTTTCAAATTCTCATGCTGGTCAAAACGTTTAGACTCATATTTTCTACCACCGAAAAAATTGGCATTTATTTAGCGACCGTCCGAGGGGGTGTAATCCACCTCTAACTTACAAAAAAATTCATTTAACCCTCACACAAGAAAGGTTTCAAATCCTCCTGCTGGTTAAAACGTTAAAACTCATATTTCCTACCACCCAAAAAAATTGGCATTCATTTAGCGACCATCTGAGGGGGTGAAATCTTCCACTAACGTACAAAAAAATTCGTTTAACCCCCACGCAAAAAAGGTTTCAAATTCTCATGCTGGTCAAAACGTTTAGACTCATATTTTCTACCACCGAAAAAATTGGCATATTTAGCGACCGTCCGAGGGGGTGTAATCCACCTCTAACTTACAAAAAAATTCATTTAACCCTCACACAAGAAAGGTTTCAAATCCTCCTGCTGGTTAAAACGTTAAAACTCATATTTCCTACCACCCAAAAAAATTGGCATTCATTTAGCGACCATCTGAGGGGGTGAAATCTTCCACTAACGTACAGAAAAATTCGTTTAACCCTCACGCAAGAAAGGTTTCAAATTCTCATGCTGGTCAAAACGTTTAGACTCATATTTTCTACCACCGAAAAAATTGGCATTCATTTAGCGACCGTCCGAGGGGGCGGAATCCGCCCCTAACGTACAGAAAAATTCGTTTAACCCTCACGCAAGAAAGGTTTCAAATTCTCATGCTGGTCAAAACGTTTAGACTCATATTTTCTACCACCGAAAAAATTGGCATTCATTTAGCGACCGTCCGAGGGGGCGGAATCCGCCCCTAACGTACAGAAAAATTCGTTTAACCCTCACGCAAGAAAGGTTTCAAATTCTCATGCTGGTCAAAACGTTTAGACTCATATTTTCTACCACCGAAAAAATTGGCATTCATTTAGCGACCGTCCGAGGGGGCGGAATCCGCCCCTAACGTACAGAAAAATTCGTTTAACCCTCACGCAAGAAAGGTTTCAAATTCTCATGCTGGTCAAAACGTTTAGACTCATATTTTCTACCACCGAAAAAATTGGCATTCATTTAGCGACCGTCCGAGGGGGCGGAATCCGCCCCTAACGTACAGAAAAATTCGTTTAACCCTCACGCAAGAAAGGTTTCAAATTCTCATGCTGGTCAAAACGTTTAGACTCATATTTTCTACCACCGAAAAAATTGGCATTTATTTAGCGACCGTCCGAGGGGGTGTAATCCACCTCTAACTTACAAAAAAATTCATTTAACCCTCACACAAGAAAGGTTTCAAATCCTCCTGCTGGTTAAAACGTTAAAACTCATATTTCCTACCACCCAAAAAAATTGGCATTCATTTAGCGACCATCTGAGGGGGTGAAATCTTCCACTAACGTACAAAAAAATTCGTTTAACCCCCACGCAAGAAAGGTGTCAAATTCTCATGCTGGTCAAAACGTTAAAACTCCTATTTCCTACCACCGAAAAAATTCGCATTCATTTAGCGACCGTCTGAGAGGGTAAAATCTGCTCCTAACGGGAGCAGATGCATATCCTCAATCAGGACGACGGAGATGAGCTCATCGGTTACTTAAAGAAGATGTCCGCGGGGTGCCGGGTGGGGTGTTGTTTCCACTGCTGTGGTGCCTGGTGCTAGACTCTGAACGAGGACAGATCGTATACACAGGAATTTGCGGACGAGCGAATAAGCAAAAAGGCCACTGCATGTCTATGGGCATGTAGAAGGGCTTTTGTTTGTACATGGGGCTTGAACCCTCGAGTGGTATATTAGCTTTACCCTGTAGTGGTAAGGCCAATATAATACTGTATGGTGCATAGGAAGCAGCTAGGAAAAGTTCAGAGTCTCGCCTGTCTGGGAGTCACTGGGGCCATGAAGGCACTTCTCGAACTAGAGCCTTGACACTTAGCTGTGGAGGCAGAGGCTCAGAAGGCTTACGTAGGGCTAAAGGATTGGGACGAATGGAAGTATCGAGGCAGCCTTGGGCACGGGCGGATCTGGGGTTAAAGTGGACCCCGGAGAGAAGGGTCCCGGGGAAATTTCTTTAGTACTTCGCGCCTCCGGTACATACCGTTCACATTTTTAAGATGGAAGTTTATAGTCAGCGGCAGTGGCGTAACTAGGTAGGTGCCAAAGGTGCCGCGGCACCGCGCTCTGAATGGGAGAGGGCGCGCCTGAAGCACCGAGGGCACTAAGTCGGGATGGGCAGTACGTGGTGTACCGTATAGGCCAGTCATAAAAGACAAGAACGGCAGTTAAATTCTAATACTTTGCTAAAGTCGACTACAGGGTGCACTGAAATATAATTAAAACTAAATTTACGCTCCTTTAGGATGAATCGAACATTGTTAAAAAGTAAAAAAATTATCAAAGTCTTTGTGTGAGATGTAAGGGATTTCAGCGCATTTTGTGTGGCAGATCAGTACTTTTATTAACCACAATCAATAAGATTTTGTCGGGGGCCCCATATTCCCTTTGTCGGTATCCACCTCCGACATCCCGTTCGCCCGGAATTCGCGTTTAAAGTTTTGACTCCACCGTTAGTAAGATCTTGTCGAGAGCTACCACATTCCCTTTGTCGGTACCCGCTTCCGACGCCCCCACAAACGGCGGATGTATACACAGTTTGAATCAAAACACTTGTACTTGTACCACGCTATCTTAAGTGCCTCAATATGAATGGCGACTGTGTTGAAAAATAGCCTAAGAGTGTAGCTTCCAAATGTATATAATAAAAGTTGTTTATTAAACTTTCTTAATTTTTTATTTCAAAACGTCTGTTACTTTCTGGATGGCCCTTGTAGTACAAAGTTACAGCGGTAGGAAAAGGCTGCAGATTTAAAATAATAATAATAATAATACTTTATTTGTGATCTATACAATAGTCTGTATTAGTGTAACCAGCATTTGCACGCAATCATTTCTACGACTTGTGCCCATGCCATAGTTAAATTTGACGCGAGAATTGGAAACACTATAAATAAATGTATTTCTATTCTTCATTCAGTGAAAGATTTCGTTATTCAAAGCATCTTTCTAAAATTTAAGTATGCAAAATTTGTGTGTAAATTCGAAAGGGTGGCAGTGCTGTTAAAATTTCGTGTAAAGTTTCTCTCAAAAATGTACCGTGTTTTATTAATTAGAGCGCAATGGTAACTGATTAGGCGCCAAAACCTGATCCGGCACCGCTTCGAAAAATACCTAGTTACGCCACTGGTCAGCGGCAGTAAAATAAAAATACAATAATAAATCAATGGCTTTATTCCGGAAGTTCTCAATTGTTACTGGTTCATTAATAATTAAATCTTCTTCCGCCATCAAAACGGAATCCGTAAGCGGCCGCATTTTTCGCATCCACCAGCGCCGGATTTCGGTGCTTGTAAAAGCTGCCATGCGAATGCGACGCACGCGAAGGGCCGGTTTCTTCGCCTCTCGGATAGAACGCCTCAAATGTCCCCTTCGGAGGTATCACCGACGTAACCTCAGGATCGCTCGGGTCGTAGCAGTTCATCATTTTAAGAAAAATTAACAGCAACAAACTCTTCGCGTACATCGTAAACAATTAGGACATCGCTTCCGCAACAGAACAATATGTGTACATTCGGGTCGTATTCGCGTGTAGAACTAACGTTTGAAATTGCGCTTTCTCTTCGGGTGCGGCATTGACATTTCGGTCTCCCGTCCTCGAAATTTCAAATCAACTGAAACCACCGACGTGAAGGTGTAAGAAAATAAAATTTTTAATTAAATCTTTAATATGTAAAGACTTTTGTCCAGAGAGGGCAGGGCCGTTCTAATGGAGTTGGCTAGTGAGTACGAAAGGCTGCCGAAACAACAGGGGGTACATTTTGAGCCCTAACCACTGTGGCAGGAATTTAAGCCCAAATACCAAGAGATACCGCACCTTAAAACATTCCAGCGAAACCAAAATGACATCCTATGTACGTATGTATGGGACATCTTATGGTCGTCCATTTAGGGAGGTCACATGTACGTCCATATTTGGTCCATTCTTTCCTCGCCTTTAAAACAATGCTAGACGAAACCATAATTTCTTTGATTTCATAAATTAAACAAATGATACATTTGACATGGTGCGATGGTGCCTCATTTTATTGAATAAAAAAAGCTTCACATTCAGTAGCTTAGGTTGGTACCGATATTAACATATTTTAAGTGTTTATCGTAAGTTGGTATTTTGATAAGGTTGGAATGTGGTGACGCTGTTTTAAATAACTTCCAAGACAAAGAGATTGAATCACAAGTTGGATTTCACTATTTTAATGTATCTTTTTTAGGTCCGCAAGTGAATCTGAACTCCGTTTTAATTTAAAGAGACAGAAAAATACATATACTTAGTTGGGGACATCCAAATGCCGCAGTAAGAGAAAAACGTCACTTGTGCATTGATTAAAATGTAAACTGGATTAGAAATAAATTACTTTAAAATAATTATAAAGGTTTTATCATTTCATACGAGATTGTGACAAATATATCAATGTCGGTGGACGTAAATATGACGTCCATCAATGGACCCACATATGACGTCCAATATGGACGGAAGAAGGACATCCAATCTGATGACATATGGCCCAAACTTGGACAAAACTAGTACCAAATGTGGACATTCAATGTATGTAGGTATCTATATTGGTTCAAGATCATTCGTCCAAAGGACAATATGACGTCCATCAATGGACCCACATATGTCGTCCAATATGGACGGAAGAAGGACATCCAATCTGATGACATATGGCCCAAACTTGGACAAAACTAGTACCAAATGTGGACATTCAATGTATGTAGGTATCTATACTGGTTCAAGATCATTCGTCCAAAGGACAATATGACGTCCATCAATGGACCCACATATGTCGTCCAATATTGACGGAAGAAGGACATCCAATCTGATGACATATGGCCCAAATTTGGACAAAACTAGTACCAAATGTGGACATTCAATGTATGTAGGTATATATATTGGTTCAAGATCATTCGTCCAAAGGACAATATGACGTCCATCAATGGACCCACATATGACGTCCAATATGGACGGAAGAAGGACATCCAATCTGATGACATATGGCCCAAATTTGGACAAAACTAGTACCAAATGTGGACATTCATTGTATGCACCTATATTGGTTCTAAGATCAGTCGTCCAAAGGACATCCACTGTAAAATCTTGCTATCTGTGATTTTTTTTGTGATAATAATGCGGACGAGTGTGGTTGGTTGTGTTTTAGAAGATTTGGGAGCGTTTGGTAATCTGAAGATAGACTTAAAGACGAATAAAAACACAGTACAAAATAACGATCATTTATATTAACTCGAAATCATCAAACTCAACAACCTTCCTTTTCTTTACCTTCACCCCTTTCCCCTTCATAAATATCATCTTGCGCTTCTTCGACTCCTTCTTCTTTTCGTTTAACTTAATCTTCTTCTGCGCGAACTGTTCGGGATCGGTAACGGCCAATTGGGCCCTTTCCCGCTTACGCTCCGCCTTTCTTACATCCGCGCTTTGCTCAATCGCCGCCAGTATCGACGTGTACGTCTCGATCCCGAGCTTGTTCTTCAACATCGTCGACACTTCCTTCGCCAACTGCTTGAGGGCGGCATCGGTGTCGGCAGTTCTCATCTCTCGCGCGAGTGGCGCAAGTAAGTGGTGCGCAACGCTCGAAACGGCGTCATCCTCCAGAACCGAGACCACGGCCGCTATCCACTTAAACACTGCTGTCCGAAGCGTAACGTTAGCCGGAGTTTTAATGATCTCCGCGTTAATTGTCCTACGTAAACATTTCACTAGCCACAATAAATTGACGGTCTTCTCCTCGCTTTGCTTCGGAGCACTTTGCAAGACGCGCGCAACGAACAGCAAGTTCTTGATCACCTGCTCGGCCAGCTCGGTTTTAGCGTGACTGGGATCGAGCTGGGCGCACAAGTCTAACGTTAGAGATTTAAGACCCGAAGCGGGGGCGCTGTAAAGGTAACCTTCCTCCGTCTCCTTCGACAGCAACAACCTACTCAGGTGCGCCGCGTCCAAGGAGGCCAACGTGAAGCCGAGAAACTGAGCGGCGCCCAAACGGACCCACTCGTGCGGGTAGCTGAGCAAATTCTGACTGTACTCCGATAAGATCTGAACGGTCTTCGTCTCGTGGAGAAATGACGGACAGCACGAGCAGATCTTCAGCAGCATCTGATAAACCTGAAAGAGGTGGTGATCTTTCTCCTGGTCTTTCGGCTCGGCGGTCTTCAGCAGGACGTACTGGCCCGGCTGGCTCTGGTTCCTCTCGAACTGTCGCAGGAGGACCGGAAGTAGCGCGGGCAGGCGAGTCTGGAACGTCGATTTTTCGATCGTCACCAGCAACCCGCAGACTTGCGCTGCCAACTGTCGGTGCAGAATCTGAAAGGAAAACTCAAAAAAACGATTGGACGTTCTCGTCAAAACGCACCTTGTCATCCTCAAGCCAGACGAGTATCATATCGAAGAGGGAGTCGGAATCGGGCCTCGGCAGCCGTTTGAACATGTCGGTTAAGCAGCTCGCGATCATTTTGCGGCACTCCGAGACCTCTTCGTTAACCATTTGCGCGCCGAGTGTTACCAGGAAAGTGCCGCTGTATTGCACGAGGACGGGCTAGAAGATAATGGATAGAGAAACCAATGGATGTCCTGGTACTTACAATTGGAAAGTTGTTAATGAAGGTTTGTATCATCTCTATCGCCGACTCCCGTCCCGATTGTATCGGGTATTTAGTTTGGGAGACATAAAAGGCGATGTGCGAGTCGACTTTCTTCTTAAGCGGATAATTCATGATGAACTGGTTGAAGACGGATCTGGCCTGGACGCGCACGTGGTGGAGCTCCGAGGTGACGCTCAACTCCGACACCTGCCGCATGACGGCGTGCATTTCGGCGGCCATCATCTTGCGATGGAGAATCGCCTTTAGGAGCGTGAAGGCGATCGCTTGCCGATCGTTGTTGTTTAAATCTTGCTCGACGTACAGAAGAAGAGTTTTTAACTGACTGTTGGCGATTTTGTGGTACTTTACATCCCGCACGACCACCGCCATCGCCTAAAAAAATTAAGTCTCTCCCATGAAAGTGATCTATTTCACTGACTGACAGAGGTTCGAATCCGACCCGCAACAGTTTTTTTTTTTACTGAATGAAACCGACTTTTCCTAGGATTACTCACCTTAAACGCTGCCAAAACAAGATCGAAGTTATCACCTTTGCCGAGCCCAGCCGACGCGTACTTGTGGAGTATCTCGAAGATGATCTCGGTAATTTCCGCAATGTTTTCTCGCACCGATGGCAAATCATAGTGGAATATCCGATGTAGACACTGTAGCGTCAGCGTGCTCAACTTTACGTGGCGCGACTGGAGGCAGTTCTTAAAAACGGGCACGAAAGGATCGAGGAACGGTTCGAACTCGTGCCCTTTGCACCTCTCCTTCGTTAGCAGGAGATTACACAAGCTCAGTCCGAACTCGACAAGGACGTGCGCGTTACTTTTCGTGGAGGTCTTCGCCCGAAAGTGGGCCGAACGACTGACCGGCGCCGCTGGAATTATGAAGCAGTCGCCCTTGGGCTTCTCGAGCAGGTCTCGCTCCTTCGCCTCCGGCTTCGGTTTCGCGGTGCTCGCCAGCAGGCCAGGAATACTCTCCGAGGCGGTACCGTAGGCGAACTTAAGCAGAGACTCGGTGGTAATAAAGGTATTCTCGACCAAACCCAGCGAAATGCACCGAAAGCATTCGCGCGACTTATTAACAACCTTAAACGACTGCGACGTTGCCAGAATTTCGCGCAGCGACAAAATGAGATCCATGAAACAACGCTCTGTGATATTCTGCGCCAAAATTTGAAACGTATTGTAACCGCTGATCGTTTTCGCCTCCGGCACCTTCGCGCCGATCTGGTTCACCTCCTTCTCCTTCGCGATATCGCCAAACAGCTCGTTTTTGCATATCTAAAATTACGGAATAAATACGAAGCCCGATCACTACACATCACTTACGTCGATGACAGTTAGGAGAACCGCATCGATATCCGTCGGCTGGTAACGGCCATTTAAAAGAACGAGGATCGAGTTTACTGTCGCTATTAGTACGTGAATTTGGTATCCTCGGCAGAGAATTGACGACATCTCGTTCAGAAGCGAGCCAAGATATTTGGGACCCAAGTTGGTCATGATCTTCTGGAGCGTCTCTCTTGCCGCGCATCGGACGTTGTAATGGCGCGATTTTAGGAAGGTGGATAGTTTTAAAAAAATTCTGGAAAAATTGAACGCTTTCAACCGTAATCTACACACGAGACTAATCTAAAATAAACGGAATGCGCGGTAGAGGATAAGCGTCTATTTTGTTACTATCACTGGATATCCAAATCAGGTCGAATTAGGAGGTATATCACGATCTCATGATAGTTGTAGGCCACGAAAGTGGAATCTTTCTTCCCCGAGGGGTGTAACACTCCCAAACCCCCGGTTGTGTATTCTTTTAAAAAGGTTTAGTACCCATGCATAGAATCCCTAAGGCTGAACGTTTTAAGGGAGAAAGGCCGGTGAGTTGGGGGGCGGGAGGATGTATTGTATGGAATACCCCCAGCATATGAGCATCTCGTGATAGTTTAATTTTTTTTTTTTTTTGCTATTTAGAGGTGCCTCTGCAGAAGGTCTTAAGTTGTTCTATACTACTCCGGTATTTACCTTACGAATTAGGAAAATTGCAGGAAAACCTAATTCGGAGTAGCCGGTAGAATGCTCGGAACTGGTCTAACGTAATTTCCATCTCCGCCACAGATGAAAAATTCACCTCAACCCAGGTTCGAACATCCGACCTCCGGATTTATAACCCAATGCTCTACCACTGAGCCATAAATCCGTAATTCTAGGGAAATGAATTGAATAGCATCAAATCTCATTCATCGGAGGGACCAAATATCACCAGGGGGGGAGGGTGTGAGGGGTAGCATACGATAATCTCATGATAGTTGAAATTAAAAACGCTGTCAACCATAATTTGTACACGCGATTCAAAATTCACGAAATGCGCGGTAGGGGATAAGCGTCTATTTTATTACTTTCAATGGCTATCCAAATCAGGTCGAACATGGAAACTTTCTTCCCTGAGGGGTATAACACCCCCAGACCCCCGATTGTGAACCCTTAACATTCTGATGGTCTGATGATAATTGTAGGGAAAAGAACATTGACTTTTTCTTTCCTGGAAGGTGTTCTCCCCCCCCCCCCCGATTCAATATTCTTCCCCCAAAACGTTTAAAGTCATTAGTACTATAGTGTTATAAAAACCTTAGGGTTGAACTTTATGAAAGAAAATATCCCTGGGGGGTCTTGTAACGGGAACCCGTTAACGTATTTCCTTTTATTTTTATTTTTTTTAGGAATTCACGTTGATACAAGGTCACGGTTAGGGGAAGCACCTGCAAGAAGGGTGATTTTATTTTATAGAAATTAAAATCTGCGTCGACCGGTCAGCTAAGTTAAGTCAACCACCTGTAATTTACCGTTGGGTGGATTTTATTTAGTGTGATAAACGTCTTGAGCAAGAAAACATCACCAGGATCTCACGAACACTTACCTGGGCACATTTGCCTCAAGAATTTCCCTCGGCAGTTGCTGCAGCAATTTAACTACGGCGAGCGAAATCGGAATTCTCGAAATATCCTCCTCCTCTTTCTCGACGCTCAACTTTTTACGATTGACCTTGTGCATTTTATCGTGCTTGGTCATTTCAGAGAACGCCTTATGCAGTTGCGGCAACAAAACCAACTGCAATAAAAATAAGAGCGTTTTAACGTTTTTCCACGTTTGATTATCGCCTCACCTGAATGGTCCTGATAACTTTTGTCGCGGACGAATGGCTTAGAACGTGTAAATTGTCAGCGGGTTTGATAACTTCAGCTTCGTCCGTCGCTTCGGTGTTTAAAAGCTGATCGATTTCGTCATCGGAGCCCTCTTCAAGGAGTTGACCATCTTGCTTTGCCACAGTGTCGGTTTCTTGAGCGTCGCTCGCTTTCACCGGAGTTACAAGTCCCTTGCTAAGATCAAAATGAAACGCCTCCAATATGGCAACGGTGCTTTTGACCAACTGGTCCTGATAGACAAAGTCCCCGTGTAACTTCTTCAGGTAAAAGCGCAAAACACCTTCGTACTGATGCCAAGGTAGTAATCGACAGGTGGTTTTTAACACCCCAATTGCCGCTTTGACAATTTTAGAATTGCCGGCGTATTTCGCCTGGCACAGGTAAATGGAAATTATCGGGAGGACGAACTGGGTAAGCGTTCGGGAGTGCGCCACGTTTCTTTCGGCTCGAAACACCTGGCAGAACTTAAAGAGCGCCCTCTCGCGCCGGTGCACCTGAAGGTGGACCAGGTTCTCGAAGAAGTCCACCTCGATATCTTCGCTACATGTCAGCTTCTTAAAATCGCGCAGGACGACGTTGGAATCGGGGCACTCTCTGGCCAGGTGTCCCAATAGAGAGATGCACTCGTCGCACGCGTCGTTGCTCTTACTCCTCAAACCTCTGCGGATTAAATCGAAGAGGACGTCATTCATGATGTAACCGAACCGCTCCGATTTCTCGTACTTCCTTATCAGTGCGACGGAGACGCTCTTCCAGCAGTGCGAGGCGCTCTCTTTCAATGACAAATCGGACTCGTTGGAGATGAGGTACCAACACGTGTAAACCAGAAAGACGCCCAAGGTGACGTCGACCTTATCGTCGGCCACCAGCTGTCGCGCGGCTTTAAAACCGGCGAGGCGCCGCTCGAAATTCGGCTGATCGACCAACTGCTCGTCCCAAGCGTTGAGCTGCTCCACCAGATCCAAGTTGGGCATCCCGCTCAGCGTCGCGCAGAGAATCTTGCGGCAAGCCGGCTGGGAGACGAAGGCGAACAGTGGCGCCAACTGTTGCAGGTGGCGCTCCGGCTGCGAGACCGTGCGCAGCAAATTTGATATGGTACTGAGATGCTTGACGAGGAGCTCCTCGGTCTCGTTGCACTTGGTAAGGGTCAACGGAAGCAGTAACGTTAAAACTTCGTCGCAAATCTCCGGCTCGCGAATCAGTTCGGAGACTCGCGACAGAATCGTAATCTCTCTCTCGCTGATTTTCTTAAACTTCGCCGACAGCTTTCGCTTGATCACGTCGAGCAACGCTGGTATGTGGGGGAGCGTGATGCGGCTGCCGTAATTCACATCCGCCCGTGCTTCCACTGACAGAAGATCATCGACCGCAAGCGCCTCCTCGGTTTCCGACTCGAGACTGAGCAGTTTCTCAAACATTTCCATGATGGCATTACGAACGGTGACGTGCGAGTTTTTGTTCACCAGGAGAGCGGCGACGTGCGGTAAGACCGTTTGGGCCTGGTTATCGTGTTGGTGTTTTACCAGGAGCGGAAAGTACCTGGGGTTCGCGCCCCACTGGAGGAAGAGCTTTAGTAAAGCGGTCGGACTATGTATACCTTCGACCGTTAATTTATCCAGGTAGGGCCAGACGAAGACGGCGAACACGTTGTTAATTTCGGCGGTAGTCCAATGGTAAGTTTCGAAGTGTTCGAAGAACCGTGCCACGATTTTGATAGAGCTCACGCGTAGGTTGCGCAAAACCGCGGAGTAACCGGCGTGAACGTTGCCGATCTGTTCGAAGATACCTCTGAGAATCGCGCCGATTGCGAAGAGCACTTTGAGGAGGAACGCGAGCAGTTCGTCACCGCCGAGCCCGCCGAAGTGCTCGAACGCGATGCCCAAGAGGTTCAAGGTGCTTTGGAGACGTTTCGGAGGTATCACGTTTTCTAAGTCCACATTTCGCGTGACGTTCGCGAGGTCGTCTTCGAGCAGTTTGGCGTAGAATCGAAAAGTCATGCGCATGAACGAGAACATCTCGCTCTTCTCGCATCCGGCCAGAAAACGAAGCACCAGGTTTCGGCGCAGCTGACCCGATGACTTCCCGCCGGTGCGCATACCCGTTTTCGCGAACATCTTGCTGTAGACGATGTTCAGTACGACCGGTATCAGATGTTCGCGATGTTCCGCTTGGACGACGGAACTGTCCGTGTCGACCCTGAACGTTGCCAGCTCCTCCTTCACGTTTTTCTCGTTAATCAAGTTGTAGAGGTGCTCGCGGTACGGCGTCAGTGATTTATTCTTGTAGGTCATGATGCAGTCCATTGCGAGCTTCTGGACCTCGTGGTGCTTGTGCGGCAGCAGATCGTTGTAAACCTTGAACAGTTCCGGTTCGCGGTACATTCCCATCGGGTTTCTAACCCTGGCAAATATCGCCAGATGGTGCAGCAGCAGCCTGGAATTACAAAAGTTACACACGCGACAAGTTAAGCGGGGGTGCAATTAATTACTTCAGTTTACTTTGCCCCTTCAATTTAAAAGTTGCATCCTTGATGGGAGCATCCTCTTGTACGGATTCGTCAGTCTTATTTTCCTTAATATTCCATTTCGCCGCTATCTCTCCGTTATTTTTGATGTATTCCTCCCTAAAATAAGTACTGTCATCCCATTTTTTTTTACGCCTCCTCCAGACTTCGGTCAGTAGGGAAACGGGGCGTGGGGAACTCGGGTAGGGGAGGTGGGTTAAAAGTATCATTTTTCGATTATTCGCTTATATCCTGGAAATGAACCACAAAAAATAAAGCACTAACCGAAATAGCTTTTGTTATGACATCACCAATGGATATATTTATTGCAGACGTCTCAATCGCCCACGATAAGAGGTCGAGGGGGAGAGCTAGGGTTGGTAGAAATTAATTCCTTTCGTTGAGACCTTTCGTTAGAGTACCATGAAGGATAAAACTAGGTCCACCCCCCTCCCCCACCACCCCGTACATTGATAAGAGGACAGAAAGAAGAGCAATAGTTGGAAGAAAATGGTTCCTTTCGTTTAGACCTTTAATTAGAATACAATGAGAAGATAATTTTGTTGACCCCCCCCCCCACCCGAGACCTTTCATTAGAATACCATGGTAGAACGCGTGTTTGTCCCCCCCCCCCCCCATTTCCTAAAGTGTAACTTAGCACCACCTAAAGGCATGCGTATGCAAAATCTGAGACCAATTGGTTGTCGTATGTATAAGCTATGCACTTTTTACTTTCAAAAACAGCATCTCAGGAAATAATTCGTGGGGGGATAGGGGGGTTTAGATAGCGAAATTTGATGGCCGTCTGGCACACCTTCAAGGTATAAGCAACCTACTGCAATCAATTCCAGGACTTTTTAAGAATAAAGAAAAGGTGCTATTGCATGCGTTTTGTCCGTCCGTCCGTCCGGACCCACTTCTACCGTTTTGAACTACTTCTAGGGGAATGGTCCTAGAGTCCTGGAATTTTTTGCAGTAGGTAGCCTATACCTTCAAGGTGTGCCAGACGGCCATCAAATTTCGCCGTCTAAAAGCCCCCCCCCCCCACGAATTATTTCCTGAGATGCTATTTTTGAAAGTAAAACGTGCATAACGACAACCAATGGGTCTCAGATTTTGCATACGCATGCCTTTAGAGGTGCCAACTTAGACTTTAGAAAATGGGGGGGGGGGGGCACGTTCTACCTTTATGGTATTCCAATGAAAGGTCTCATCGAAATAAATTGGTTTGTACAAACTATAACTTTCCCGTTCGACTCTTTTTCGAGATCAGTGAGCGACGGGGCCTGACGGGGGGGGGGGGGGAATTAATTTTATCTCTCATTGTATTCTAATTAAAGTTCTCAACGGAAGGAACAGTTTTCTACAAACTACTGCCCTTCTTTCTGTCCTCTTATCAAAGTACGGGGTGGAGGAAGAAGAGGGGAGGAAGTGGAACTAGTTTTGCCCATGCGCAGTGCCAACTTTCTTATTTCTGGAGGGATTTAAATGAAATTTGATACATAGCCACTTGGAATAAAAGCAAATGTAGCGACATTTTCCAAATTTGGTTTTGTGTAGGATGTGCAGTGCCAACTTTCTTATTTGTGGAAGAAATTTCGTAGGGGTGTTTTAAAAAAATGCACAAGGGTTGTGCACAATTTGTACTTGTTTTTAATTCTTAAAAATGCGCCAAAAATGAGAGTACCTTTGATAGAGAATGCGCTCCAAAAGCCCCCCCCCCCCCCAAACAAAATGCATGGTGACCATTATGATTGTAGGGAATAGGTCATTGAATTTTCCTTTTACTGAAGAGTATTCCATATCCCACCGGTGGTACGTTCGATGGCGATTTGCTCGAATTGGTGGTCTGGGGGGTATGGAATAACTTCCTTCCTTATTTTATGGCCTACATTGTCAATTGCGATCCACAAATTTTATATATCCACCTGCAAAATTTAATCGTAATCGGTCCATTCGTTTTCGAGATATCGTGCTAACGAACGGACACTAGGAGCTCGTTAATAATCCGAGCGAAACTAGAAAGAGAGAGGAGAGGAGAGATGCGATAATGAAAACCTACGCGACTCTTAAAAAACGACAAATTATTCATTTCAAATTGGCAAAAGAAAAAAAAAGTAAAACAAAAAAGATTCTGTACTGACATAGCGTTTTCCTAGGTGTCTTTATTTTTCAAGTTTACAGAAAATTGACACCCAGAAAGAATGCATCACTACCAACGCGTAAACTCTGGATGATGGGGCTCGACCAAACTAATATACATGTTAACGCGTCTGTAGACGGCCGAATATTAACATTTAATAGAAAGTATTATGCGATTACGAAAAACAAAGATGTCACTAAGGAGTTACCTTGTTTTGTGGTGTCCCCGGCGAAAAAATCACTACACTGAATTTTTAATAATAGCTTTGCAGCAAAGAAAATATACTGGCGCGCTCTATTAGTTTGTCCTTTGTCGAAATACGGTCGTTTATTTTATACTACTAAAACGTACGGTAGTCTTTATTTCGTCCGATGACACAATAATCCTTTCTTGTAGTGCAACAAACCGGCACATTCAATAAACTCGCTTCTGTGTCGTTACCTAACTGGTAAAGCGTAAAGTTTGTCATCATTTTTTTAACCGGGAGCCCAAATCTCTGTTTACTTTCAGCTGTACGGTTAACAAATTCGTTATCCAAAGCCAAATGATTTTGTAACTGCAAAATTGATGCTCCCGCAACCAATGGTTCGGATTGTTTTCAAAAACTTTGCCGGATTCCCCACCTCAGAGAACAAATTTACCTTTTTGCTAAACAATTCTTGCTCTGATATCCCAGACCCAAGTGAATGCAAAATATTACTATTATTATTTTAACCTTCCAGCCGAAAATGTGCCCTCTTTGAAAAATTCGCGTGACATCAACAACGCCCGAAATCTCTCGCGCTTAATTTTTTTAAGTAGCGCTTCGTTGACTCAAAAACCGCAACGCAATCTACAAAAGTTTCTGCAGACTAATCCCTACCTATTTTTACTGATTAATTAACGCCTCTCAAAATGGCGTCTAATAACAAAGTGAACCGTCTCCTTTCAAAAGTCAATTAGATTCGTTGAACCCCCCCGCCAATCCATGCGAATTTTCTGCACCCTGCATTTTTTGCGCACATAACAGTAATTATTTCTTATTTCCTGGAGCGCACCATTTCCTAAAGCCATAAAAACTTCAACGCGCTATAGAATTCAATTACGTAGAACAAACATATGATCGCTAACGGAAACTACGAACTTCTCCGCAAATCTAAATTTGCTAAAATGTTGAAAATATCAAGACTACAGTTCGAACGAACGCGAATAATGAAAGAATGATACCTTTAACTCGTCCCCTTCCAAACCTCGCCCCTCGTTCTAGGGGACATTTGGGTACTTACTCGATAAACTTGAGAAACAATTCCGACACGTCCCTCGATTTTCTTTCGGCAACCTCCGGAAAACCGGCCAACGCCTTCCACAGCAGCAGTCGATAGTTGACGAAGCCGGGTTTCGTCTCGAATCGGCACGCCGATCGGTAGAGTTCGTGTAGAAACGCGCAATCGAGCTGGAGTTCGTCGCACGGTAAAGGATCGTTAACGTTCGCCGCGGCGAGCTTCAATTCGCCCGCGAAGACCTCCCAGAACTCGTTCAGTTCCATGCCTTGGGCGTGCGTGGCTATTATGTTAATGGTCGGTTCCCACAGAAGCCGAAAGTTCATGTACAACACACCGCACAGGTAGCGTAGGGGTAAAGTGCGAAACGCGGTAGCGTTGCACATTTCCATTTGAGGCTTGCCGAACGAGAGCAGTTCGAGATCGTGTAGCTGGTCCCTGTACGTTTGTATTTGCGGCGTGATCGTTTCGACATTGTAACACAAGTGGAAGACCCTCCACTCGGCGTCGGACTCGCTCGTTAATAATTCGGGAAGCCGAGCGAAAAGCGTGTAGACATGCGCAGTGTACAAGCGCATCTCGTGATAAGGCGAACTGAAGTTGCCCACTAAAGCTTTGTGTACTGTTAGAAGAAGATCGAAAGTGATTCGGTCAGAATCGGAAATCGCAGTGAGGTATAGGTCGAGAGTTTTCAGGGCGATTACGAATTTCGGCTTAGTGCACGATGTCAAAAGCGTTTCGAGGATTAAATCCAACCACTCCACCACTTCAGGCGGCGACAAATGCACTGCGCATTCTACGGTGGCCATCAGTAGAAAGGAGGTCTTCGGGTCAGGAGACGAAGCGAATCGCTCGCACAGCAGCCTCACTTTAGCCGCCAAGATCTCAGAAACCGACACACCGCTCAGATGGGGCAAACATATCAGGGCGCATAAATAACTGTCTGCCTCCTGAAACGGATCCAAGGACAGCAGATCGACAACCTTCCCAGTGCACTCTCCAAGCTCAATCGGGTACTTAACCCAAGACGCCAAGCGCAACCCCCCCTGACACGGGGGCGACTTATGGAGTACAACCCGGGTGAGCACATGCAGAAAATCCGCGGTCAAACCGCCGGCAATCGCCCGCTCTAGAAAAGTCGGCAAAATCAGATGCTCGAACGCGGAGTAGCCCTTGATTAAATCGACGAAGTGCAGCACAATCTTCGATTTCGACAAAATCTTGCGAGTAAGCGTACCGGCGTATTCTTGCGGTAAGGTAATCGTCTCCGACAACAAAATTAACACCGAAATTTGGGAGACCAAAAGCAACAGTCGTTCGGGTAGCTCGCCCGCGGAGAGCAGCTTTACAATGACGTCCACGAGCGGAAGTGGCGCGACCAGTAGCTTACCGCCTTTACACTCGACCGCTTGACCGAGCAACTTCAGGTTGCACTCGATGTAACCGATGGACTCATCGCTCGGCGGCGCTTCTAGCAATCGCTCGATGTTGCCGATGCAGGCTTTCCAAAACGGCTCGGATTTCGGAGCCTTGATGCGCGCGCAGATGTTGGTGACGACCTCTTCGACGATCTCGAACAGTGTCTCGCGCGGAAACTTGTCGCTCTCCAACGATTGGATCAAAAATGGGAGAATGGCGTCGGCGCAGCTGTGAAACTGACCATTCACACCGTAGATCACTTCAAATAGCAGCTTCCCGCACCCTTCGCTTGCCTAAAAAATTTGACTCATTTAGACCATGACATTTAATTTTATAAGCGAGTTGTGGTCGCGTGGTGCATTGAGGCGAGCAACTACTGATTTTCATTTGGGATGCGATCCACGCACGCTTGCCCATAATTCATAATGTCATTAAAAGATCTAATGGCACGAGTTGGAGCATCTTTATCTCAACGTGTATAAACCTCTCGCCAGGAAAGATTGCCGGTCACAGAAGACCTGATCCCGGTCTACAATCTGTGTTTTTCTAAAGATGTGAGCGACTTCCGGGATGGGATCGTGCCAATGTTGAACAAAAAATCATTTCGTTCAACGATCCTATTTCGGAAGTCGCTCGCATCTTAAAAAAAAAAAGATTGTAAATTGACACAAGGTGTGCTGTGACCGGCAATCTTTCCTGGCGAGAGTTATAGCTAATAACCTCAAGCCGGTAACGTCTAAATATTATTTCTCTTTCTAAAAAGTACAAACAAAATGTTAAGAATACGACGACTTCCAATATCTAACACAAGACCGACAAGGATTGAGGTTATTATACAGGGCGTTTCAAAAAGAATCATCCGATTTTAAAAATTTATTGCTATTCATCTATAAGTCCGATTTGATAGAACAATGTACTGTTAGTAAGAGGAAGCTCTCGAGTTTCGCGTGGTTTCCGCTAGGTAGCAGTAGCGCGCTTCTGTCAACGCCCAGATCAGTTATTGTCAAAATGCTAGCTAAGGTGTGGGACGAATTTGAGTATCGCATAGACATATGCCGTGCATCTCAAGGGGGCCATATTGAGCACCTGTAAATGGTGTATAAAAAAACTTTATTAGTTATCCTTTAATATAAAATTAACCTCATGTCCATATTATTATTAGTATTGAAATTATAAACCTACAAAATCGGATGATTCTTTTTGAAACGCCCTGTATAATGTGGTTGGAGGGAGTGATTGACGTCGTTTTGAGATAGAGAAGCAAATCTCCCATGATCTATTGACCCTGAGAGGATTTGAGATCGCGTATCTCCCAAAAATTTAAGGTTGGGATATGTCAAATTTGAGAATCTAAACTGACAACAGCAAAGGCTCCCCCCACCCACCAAAACCCTCCGGTGCTATATTTCCCCCCAAAATGTTTAGTACCCTTACAACTTAAATCATCGTTTTTGAAAAGAGCTGAACGTTTTGGAGAAAAACATACCACTGGGGGGGGGGGGGGGGTTAAGTAATACCATTTTCACCCAAAATGTTTAGTATGCTTACCACGTACCATCATCATTTTTGGAAAGAGTCCTTATGGCTGAAGGTTTTGGCGGAGAGCCTACCACCAGGGGTCTGAGAGGTATGAAATACCGCCCAGTGCTATATTTTCCCTCAAAATGTTTACTACCCTTACCACTTAACACCACACCATAACACCGGAGGGCTGGGAGGTATCGAATATTCCCCAGTACACAAAGGTTTTATGACCAAATGAACATTAAACCTGTATCTTTCTCCTGAGGGTTAAAAATAACCCCCCCGACCCACCGGTGCACTCTTAGCATTATGGTTTTTGCAAATGGTGCCATTTGAAATAAGAATGACAGATGTCATTAGAATGCACAATCATCTCTTTCACTCTTTATCTACCCTTGCAGTTAAAATGATCACTTTACCTACCATCAACGGTTCACTTAGCCTACTTTCTTTCCCCGATAGGTTTTCAATTGTTGTGTTACCACCACCCACTTACCTGTCCGGTACTCCGCACGACCTTCACGAGCGTACCCAAAAAGCTCGGCCAATCCTTCACCTTTCGGACGACGAAGGCGAAGCTCTGCGCCGCGAAATCGTTGATGTAATCGGGCCTCGCGTCCGACAGAAGCGGCAGCAGGCTGCCGAAGACGGTCTTCACCTCCTTCACCAGCGGACGCCACAGAAACTTGAAGAGATACGCGAGGCACGTGAACGTCCACTCCAACTGTTCGGTCTCCTTCGTATTCAGCAGGTCGATGATGACGCGCAGAAAGTCGGGGTAGTACGGGTAGAAATCCTGCCGTAGGTCGTTAACAAACGCCACCACAATCCTGCGGAGTACGAAAGTGTACAGCGTGAAAACGAGGAAGGAAGTGCTTACTCTAAAAGTGCCTGTATCGAGAGGATATTTTTAAGACGCAGATGCTTTAAAAGGGTGGCGGCCACGTGATCCTTCTTGTGAATGAGCTGTGGTAGCGTGATGAGATTGTGCGGTCCGATTTCACGTCTGAATTGGTTATACGGATCTGACAAGTTTAGTGTGTCCCATTTCACAATCGATTGATACAATAGGCAGCTGTGTTCCTCGTCGGGTTCCTCATTTTCGTGGCCTATGCGGTGAAATATGTCGATGTTGATGTTCGCTATACGTTCCGCAAACGGTTGAAACTGTACATTGAGTTTAAGTTTTGCAAGCCGTTAGGGGGTTGTTACCTTAAATGTGTTTGACTCCTTATGCCGTAAGGGTTTGTTCTTCATCTTGTCCCTATTTTTATTTACAAACTAAAATGTAAGTTTGACGTTTACATACTTTGAGGTTATGTTACAAAACACGTGCTACTCTACAAAAACAAAATGCAGCGTTGCCACTTTTCATGTATTTGTCATTATGTACACCTACGAATATTAATTATGTGTAGGCTAGTCACACACTTTTGGGCTCTTCTTTGGACCTTTTGGCGCCACCTGCATCTCTTTGGCGACACTCTCGTATTAACTACAACCTCTTGACTGACCACTTTCCTTGCACTCGCCCTGACCTTGTCTAGTCTCGGGGCACGTTCTCTCGACCTAATGCGCTCTCTGGCTTCATTAGGGAACACTTGGGCGCTTCTATGAGGCCTAGCGTAGATCCTTCTGGGAACACAATCACATTTTTCCCCCATCTACTTGTTAGTATAACTTGAAACCTTTCCCTGTTTTTACGCGTTCTCTCCCTTCCTTAGATAGCCCAGCATATTACAGACATGCTTTCCTGATATTCATCTATGTGTAAAAGACGTATCACCACAATCACAGAAACGTGAGAAACTGAGATATTTATACGCATTTGGAACATACTATTTGCGTGCCTCAAACAATTATTTACGGGCAACTCCTCGCCTATTATGTCTTCCTAATAGAAACCTTGTTTTAAGAATGTTGTATCAAGATTATTAAAACGCAAGGAGGTGAAATATTTAATGACCAGACCCCCCCCCCCTGACCACTAGGTTCTGTAAAGAATTCCATTTTTACTATACAGAAGCGTGAGTAGGTGAAATATTTAATATCAAGACAAATTCATTATGTTCTCCTGATACAAATTTGCCTTTTTACTTTACATTTTTCTCCGATTACATTGCCCTATCACAAATTTTTCTTGTTACTAATGTGACAGGATCTCTTGCTACCCCATTTTAGTGATCAGGCTCGCAAAGACGCAAAAACAAAAACACCAGGATCAAACAAACGGAAGAAGGTTAATGATAAAAGGCATATTTTCCTTTTCTGCAATAAAATTCCGAAATATTGCAGACAGCTCGTCACGTCTTATGTTCGCCCGGTACCGATTTGTGCTTTAAAAATCGTGGTCAGGATCACGGATGGGTACGTGAAAAGTAAAATATATAGCATAAGAAAATATGGATAGACATCTACCCTCCTGATACAAATTTCTGTTTCAAAAATTCTAGTAACAGTATCACAGAAACGGGGGAAATGACATTTGGCCCTATTATGTTCTCCTGTTCCAAACTTTTTCTGTACTGATGTATCAGGATGACAAAACGTATATTTTCTCATTTAGTGTCGGTTTTAATGTCGATTCCAAAGTGATAAATGGTGGAATCCGCGCCCGTGTTATTAAATGTGGTAAAAATGTACGTGTTATAAATGGCCGTTATAAATTCAACAATAATTTAATATATAATTAATTTACATTACCATATATTTGTGTGCGAGTTTTTGAACCATGTGGCGCCATCTAACGTACATGTGTACATACTTGTACAAGTGTATGTACCGAGAAGTTACAAGTTCGCCACATAGATGGCGCCAAACCCCGTGTTTACAATATGTGCAGGTTTTTCGACCTCATTTAAAGCAACAACTTATAACACGCAAGACTTCCAAAGATTTCACCTATCGACCAATAATTATAATGAAGCGTACATTAAATAAGGCAAAATGTGAACTGATTATGTTGAGTTAAGGGGATGTGTAATCTTTGGAAGTTTTGTGTGTTAAAAGATGTTGTTTTAAGCAATTAACACAGCTATATAATGAAGTGTTGTGCGTTGACAGATGTGGCACGTCGGCCATTTGTTCCGGAGGATCTAGATCTACCCTCATACGCTCCCAGAACGTGATTAAAGCATTTATTTGTTTGCGTAAATAACTACCCCAATTACCCACCTAGTCCGAAATTAACCCAGTGCCTCTGAAGTGAAGCGCAGACATTTTTTTTGCAGGGCCACCAACCTCCCGAATTCGAATATCCTTTGGCAGGCTATAAATTTATTGATTGCAGACTCACGGAGTGGGCGACATCTATTGCAAATTTCTGTAAAACATCTACTTCCATGTTTATGTTCGAAAGGAGGTTGTATTGCTTGTTCAGCTCCATCTATACCATCTTAATAATAATAACTTTATGTATCTATCGTTTTACAGCGCCATCTATTGATTGTTGATTTCCGGGAATAAATTAATAAAGAGAGTAGTTTCTTCTAATTCCAGAATTATAGGTGATACAGGGTGAAAGCCAAAACAAGGATGGATATGCAGGATGTAAAAAATTTTTAAAAATACTCGAATACCATGTTTTCCTTCGTGTTTAATAGTGCGCCATCTTGTGGTAGGAATTTTCAACGTACGTTATTGCGCTTACCTGATGCTAGAAGTACGTTGAACCTTTGTTTAAATACTTTAAATGGTTGAACGCTCATTTCAAAAGCCTCGTGTATCCTGTGCGAAAAAATACATTGCCGTTTCCCTATGCGTTCTACATGGGACACACTGTATATTCTGGGGGTATTCCATACTATGTGTGGTGGGACGTTCTTATTGCGCATAGAAAAAAACCTCTTCTTTATAGCCTTTTTTGTCTTTTTTTGAGATTCTTCTTGTATAAAGAACAAAAATTTAAAAGGAAGACGATCGTAAGGTCGTACACAGTTTTGAAGAGCCACCAAGAGTCACCAGAAGCCTTTCTGAAAGTTTTATGATCCTTGCGGCTCCATTCTTTCTTTAAAATTGAATTTTTAGGTTCTTTGTGGATCTTAGAAGGACGTAAAAAGAGTCTCAAAAAACCACCAGAAGCGTTTAGGGTTTTTGAGATTCTCTTCTGTCTTTAGGAAGTGCGCCTCCAAGACCTCGGTCAACTTTAAAGGGACTTTAAGCGCCAATTTCCGTCAAGAGCCCCAAAGGCTCCCAAAAGCTCTTCTAAAAATCAAAGTTTTTGGGATTTTCTGTTTTCTTTGAAAGCTGAGTGTTTAGGCGGCAAGCAGTAGATACCCCAGAACTTCCAAGGGTGTCAAAGCCACCAGGACCACCCAATTTTGGCACTTTTGCCGTCGTAGCTCCGGTACAATACAATTAGTTTATTTGGAAAAAAATAATAGGTACTAAATGAAAAAGGCCCAAATTTCCCATGCATCTCACTTGTCCAGTCCGGCTCTGATCATCAAAATTTTATGATCTCTAGCTTCAGACTTTCAAAATCCTCCAGCCTAACGAAACTCCCGGCATTTGGCCTCGTCCGTCCCTGTCGCCCGGCGCAATTATTTACACGAAGACTTTTCCCAAAAAAGCTAAATCTGAATAATTGTGCAGGGTGGAAAATAAGCCCTCGAAAAAAAATTTTTTTGTAAGGGAGTAAGCGAGGAAGCGGGCTTTCCAGGAAAGGCGACTTTTCTTGTCACGCGTACCCGACTCCCGTCCTGCGCGGTGTTCACTTTTCAAAAGGAAAATATTCGAATTAATTCAAAATGTTTAAATTCGTGTACCTAAACACCGTCTGGGACTGATAAGAAACGGCACACGTGCATTTTATTGCTCGTCAGCCAATCAGAGCGAAGCCTTAGCCGAAGTTGCTGTGGAACGCGTTAGTCGCGAACGAACTGCTTTCAGTGCCGAATGATTTGTGGTTTGTGTTTGATTTTTGTGCGTGACCTCCATCGTTCTCGCTGAATGCTAAACGTAAAGGGCACGGGGTTGTGTTTTTAATTTAGGAATCAAGCCATCAACAAATACGAAATGCGATTTACAAGTTCAATTCGCGTTCCGTTTCCATCGGCGACGGTTATAGGAACAGCACCGCGTTTTGTTCCAGGAATCACATCCACCTTCAGGAATGGCTTTCCAAAAGTTAGTCTGCTTTATTTCCATTTGATTGGAAATTAATGCACGCACGCAATTAGTGTGCAAATCATTGTTTTCAATGCAACACCGGCCACCGGCGCGACCTCAACGCCCTCACCGGCAGTTGAATCTTTGAATGAAATGGGTCGCCAGGAAAGTGTTTTAATTTGTAAAATTAAGTGGATTCTTTTGGGATCTGCGACGCGGAGGGTGAGTTTTCAAATTGTGCATGTCTTTTACCTATACGCCGTAGTTATATTTCGTTGAAGTTTGTTTCAACAACCGACAAATTCAAATTTGCGAAAGGCACACAGAGTGGCGTCCCCCCATTTTTACGGCTTACCTTTACATTCAATTGCGTATAGATCGATGATAACGATTTTTGGTTTCTATTCGAATTTGCCTGACAAATTTCGAATTCGAATATAATGGGCAAACGTCGATTTTAAAACATTCGCGCGAACAAAATGTTTGATACATAACCTCACATAATGTTCACATTGGAAATGAATCACACTTATTACCTAGGTATATCAGATACATGAGGGGCTTATAAAAAGCAAAAGTAATTGACACATTTATTGACGGCTGCGCAATTTTTAAGCACACCTAGACGTTTCTCCCCAACTTATGTAATTCATTTGTTTTTGCGTAAATGTAGGTGCGCAGTTAAGTGAAGTGCTTTGTTTCGTTTGTGAAGTGCTGCATGCAGATCCTGATTCCAGTTCGACCACTTGGTGAGCATTTTTATAATTTTTTAGGCTAATACGTAACATTTATTCAATGCGCATACCAAAAAAGGCACATGAGTTGCTTATGACAATCAAAAATAACTGTCACATTTTTACGGATGCCCAATTTATTAAATGCGCATACCAAAAGATACATGATATCAGGCTTATAAAAAGCAAAAAATAATTGACACATTTATTGACGGCTGCGCAATTTTTATGCACAAACCGCACACTTTGACGTTTATCCCCAACTTATGTAATCCAGTCGTTTTTGCGTAAATTTGGGTGCGCAGTTAAGTGAAGTGCTTTGTTTCGTTTGTGAAGTGCTGCATGCAGATCCTGATTCCAGTTCGACCACTTGGTGAGCATTTTTATAATTTTTTTGGTTAATGCGTAACATTTATTCAATGCGCATACCAAAAAAGGCACATGAGTTGCTTATGAGAATCAAAAATAACTGTCACATTTTTATACGGATGCCCCATTTATTTAATGCGCA